AGCTGATGTGGTCGAGCCCGAAGACATGATCGTGGGCATCTCCCAACGAGCGCCATAGCGGCGCTGCCCTGCGCCTCCTCTCCTCGCCCATCTCGAAGACCCGCCGCTTTCGCATCCCCTTGTGCGCATTGAATTCATCGAGCCCCTGTTCTTCCATGCTGCTCCATTCCTTTCTCTTCAGCGACGCGCGAGGAGGTGCTGAGGAGGAGGAAGAAGAGGTGTCGTCGAGAATCTGCTGTTGCTGCACCTCCATTAGGTCGATGTCTTCGCCCAGATCTGAGCAAATTGTCATCTCGGGAGGATTGGAATACGAGGTTGAAGAGGGAGACGAGGGGAAGAAGGCCGAGTTCATGGTCGCAACGTTGCTGGCCCCACCAAGGGGGGCAGGTACCAACAATCAATGCGAACAAATGTCTGTTGGCCTAATCCTTTCACAGATCCGTTTGAAGTGGAATTGTTGCAGACAATATCTGGAATCATTTTGATATTTAATTTTGATAGCAATTCGATCAAATCGTCGACAAACTAAAAGAAGAAGTGCAGGACAAGCGCAGGACAAAGCAACCCACCACCCCGCAATACAAGAAAAAAGAAGAGGATGATGGAGGCTGCTGCGCACAGCTCTTCGGCCCGAGCGGAGACGACGACGCAGTGGGCAGAGCTGACCAGCATGCTCGAAGAAATGGAGGTCCGGCAGCAGCGCGGCAACGACGCCGAGAAGGCTGAGAGCCAAGCCGACGGCGAAGAAGGTGGTGGTTCGATGGTGGGTCCGCACCAGCTCAGCTCGTGGCGACGGTACTACCTCCTCACCCTTTCCTTCTCGTAGCATGACGTGGTGAGTTAACTCGCTCTTGCGCGGCACTTCTTCATATTTTTCTCTATAACAATTATAGGCACATTGTTATTTTGCGTTATTTATTTGTTTGTTTAATTGTACCTCCGACTTCAGGAAGCGGCAGGCGCACCACTTTGCGGCACCTCCGTTGGCCGCGACGACCCGGGGCGGCGCCACACCTCCACGCCCCGCCACGATTGCCGTCGACTCCGAACCCAAAGTCGAGGCCAAGGTATACTGCAGCCAGCTGCTCTGTAATCGCAGCACGCACGACACACACACCACACCGCACACGCACACGCACACGCACGAAGACGCTGCCAACACCCAAAACACGAACCAGGTCCGGAGACTACACGCTGACGGCGAGGGAACGGGCCATCCGGGAGAAGGTGGAGGAGCAACAAGAAAACGAAGACGACAAACAACGAAAAAGAACGAAGAAGGAGAAAAAAGAGAAGAAAGAACGAAAGAAGTCGAGTAATGGCAGCAGCAGCAGCAAGGAGGAGAGGGAGAAGCTGGTCAAGGTGCGCAAGGACAGCAAGAACCTCGAGCGGGAGGAGAAGCGAAAGAGGAAAGAGGAAGAGAAGACCAGGAAAAAGGAAGAGAAACAGAAAGAAAAGGAGAGGGAAGCTGACGTCGCGCCAGGTTCGGTCGTCTTGCGATACGCGGCGGCGCGCAAGGCCACCAAGTCGGCCGATGACCTGGCCGGCGTGGTGCAGGTCACCACCGCCACCACTACAAGCTCCGCCGCCGGCAAGCCCTTCAGCCACTCGAGTCCGGTGGCCCTGCGACGAGCGCGGTCGGCCTCATCTGGCACAGATCCAGGCCAGATCTCTCCCGCCAGCGATCGCGAGGTTTTCAGCCCCGTTTCCATGCGTGTCGTGTGCGTGTGCGGTGGTGTGTGTGCATGCCATGTTGTGCGGTGTGGAGGCTTATGATGGGGTTGCAACAGAATGCGTTGTCACGATCTGGAACGATTTCGCGCGTGGAGGTGCGACGCAAGCCGACCACCGGAGTGTCCACGACTGCGACCCAACCGGTGGGCGATGATCCGCTCCTCGTGACCCGCCTGGTCATCGCCTTTCTCATCGACGCATTCGTGCGCTTCCATGGTTCGTTCACTCCCACCTGGGCTGCTCACTCCTTTCCCACATCGTCGCCATACTCTCTTACACTGCGCGACACACACGCACACCGCACACACCGCACACACCACATCGCACACGCACACGCACACGCACCACGGCACACGCACGCACATCGTAACAGGAAATGAGAGACACGGGGTGTTCCGAGTGCCGGGCGATGCGGATGAGGTGAGCAGGACCAAGGAGCGACTCGACCGCGGCGAGTTCGTGCTGACCACCACTGACTCTTTTGTGGTGGCCTCCGTCTTGATCGCCTGGCTCGCCGAACTGCCCGAACCCCTCATTCCCTTTGCTCACTAGTACGATGCGCACGCACACGCACACGCACACGCACACGCACACGCACACGCACGCGTACTGACGCACACCGCAGTGACGCGTGCATCGAGATCGCCACCCGGCGAGGTCTGGGCAATCGCGGCGAGAGCTCCAAGGAGGAGTTCAAGCTGGTGGCCCGCCTCCCCGAACTCAATAAGAGCGTGATCTTCGACCTTCTGGACTTCATCAAGGAGCTCGCCAAGCCGCACACCATCGAGAAGACCGCCATGCCCGTACTCCCCCCTCTTTCCCAATCTCCTGTTCCTTCTCTTCTACCGAGGAGCGCATAGACTCACCTCTTCGTTCTTTTCTATCTTCGTTCTTCTCTTTCGTTCTTTAACCAGTTGAGCAGCCTGGCGATGGTGTTCCAGCCTGTTTTCCTGCGCAGCCAAGACCCCTCCGCGCTCTTCCTCAACAGGTACATTCTTCTGCCCGTCCCGCCTAGCCTTCACCATCCAACTCTTCATCCCCAACACTCATGACGGCGTGTTGTGTCGTGTGTGGCTGCGCAGTGCGTATGAGGCGTCGTTCGTGAGGCAGCTCTTCTCCACCTATCTCGCGCTCTCGGACTAGCATAGCAGCTCAGCCCCCCCCAATAAAAACCACCGTCTCTTCGCCCACCCACGCGTGTGTGAGGCGGCAAAGCCTTGATCGCAACCGCCAAAAGAGTCAGGCTCTCCTGCGCGACTGGCAGACGTACTCAGCAATGAATGACTGGTGCAGAAGGGCGCAGAACCTGGTGGCTGATGGATACGGCCATACTGCGCAGAAAGCACCGCTTCCCATCCGAACAGCGAAGTTAAGCTGCGCCAGGCGGTGTTAGTACTGGGGTGGGCGACCACCCGGGAATCCACCGTGCCGTATCCTCCTTTTTGCTTCTTGACTGTCATGTCGCTCACTAACAACATCCCCCGCGCTGTATCCTCTTTTTCTTCGTTCGTTGTCACTCAAATCCACCCTCGTGTTTGGTCTATCGATGAGATCAACTGTTGCATTCCGTCTGATGGCGCCCATCGCCTTCGTCTAGAGGGGCAAGAGCACAGCACGGGCAGGGGCGGCCTCAAGTCCCTGGATGGCCAGCGGGAGGCACACGAAGTAATAGGACCTCCCACAGTCGACGTGCCCAAGGCGCAGGCCCTCCACGATCGGAATCTGGCTGCCCAGCAGAGTCTGTACCTCAACAATACAGCAACGTTAGCCACGCACTGTGTGTCGCGTGTGGTGTCGTGTGCCATGAGTGCGTGTGGTGTGTGAGTGGTGTGCTGGACCTTGTGCGTGACGTGGTCAGGCTGATCACGCTCGATGCCCAGGTAATCAACGCCGACGGCCTTGATGCCTGGGTGCAGAAATGTTAGCATTTCGAACGTTCACGTTTGGAAAGGATGAGAACAGACCTCTCTCGCGCAGGTATTCGGCACCGGAGATGTGGAGGAACACGAACTTGGGGTTGAACGGCGCCGTCGTGCTCAGCGCGCTGTTGGCGGTCTTGAGCATCACGATGACGCCCTTCTCTATGACCGCCTCGTGCTGCTCCAACGCCTCGCGCGTGATCGCGTCCCCCTATTTCGCCACGCACCACCGCACACAACACACATCACCACACGCAGGCTTAGCCAGCGAATGGCCATTCTTGTGAAGGACCACGCTACCTCGATCTGGGTCAAGTCAAGCACGCAGCACCTGCCCGCGAGCTGCGTCAGCGACGTCTTCTCGATCGAGTGGCCATCTGCCGCACACGCACACCAGTCCGTAAGTGTCGTGAGTGTGTCATGTGTCGTGTCGTGTCGTGTCGATGTGGAGCACCTTCGAGGAAGTGTGCGGGGGCGTCGATGTGGGTGCCGGTGTGGAGGCACATGGTGAAGCGCGACTCGCGCGCGTGGTCCTTGGGCCAGTCGCGGAAGCGGTCGACCGTGTAGGCGCGCTCGGGGGCGTCCTTGAAGGCCGTCACCCCGGCCTCCAGCGGCCAGCTCACGTCCACCACCTGACCACCCTCCTCCCCCTCCGGCGCACCAAACAGGGAGTCTGCGATAACAACCGGTGAGTGCTCGACGTGTCCAAGAGAAAAGGGAGGGGAGGGAACCAACCCAGCAGTTGCAGCTTGTTCATGGTGCTATGATAAATAAAAGAAATAAAAATTGTAAAAAAACGAAAAATAAAAGCAAAATGAAAAAACAATATAATTTGTTTAGATGGAGAAGGAAGGGAAGGTGGTGCGGGTGGTTTACCATTGCCCGTGCCCAGATGGTGCCTGTCTCCCCCCTTTGATGCCTGGGGCTCCTTCTGATCATCTTCACACAGGAAGTTAAGTGAAGTCCATCTTCTACACCCCGCAGGCGCGTTTGCGGCGCTGGCGGCGTACCTGCGGTTCCACAAGGATCCGCTGGTGGACGTGAGCTTCGTGCCGCACAGCACCTCCCATCCTCTACGCGTCGAGGACAACCCCGCCTTCACCCCCGACGCCCACGTTTTCCTGTACGTGTAGAAGAACAAAGCGAGTGTGTGGTGTGCTGTGCGCGGTGTGCGTGTGCGGTGTGCGTGTGCGAGGATGGCGCACTGACGTGGCAAGGATCGCAGTTTGGACTACGTGGGCCGTCCCGACCTCATCCGTCGCCTCGCCAGCAAGGTACACAGTAAGAAACCGCTATGACGTGGAAGTGGTCTCATCTGGGCTGCCCAGGTGAGGCACATCACCCTGCTGGACCACCACGACACGGCCTTCGAGCTGCTGGAAAAGTGGAAGAGCGAAGACAGCCTCCCGCACAACTGTACGCGCTTCTGCTTCGACCAGAACGCGCCTCACTCGCGAACCTCACTCCACGCTGCGCAGTTGACTACCAGCTGATCAAGGAGAAGTCGGGTGCCGTGATCGCCTACGAGTACTTCTCCCAGGACCAGACGCTCATCGCCAACGAAGCCGACCGGGCCAGGTGAGCCCTCACAATTGACGCGCGCAACAACCACACACGCTCATTGGAGAAGATGAACAAACAGGATCGAGCGGGTCTACGCCTACGTCGAAGATGGCGATCTCAGGCAGAGGGCTCTTCCCCAGTCGGCAGAGTTTGCCAGGTACTCTCCTGACGCTGTAAATGATCGAATTTCTTGTACCATACTAACATGTTATTATCGCATCCCAACGTCGCATGTGCGCAGTGGGCTAGGTGCGAAGAGTATAGAGTTCAACATCACGCGAAACAAGTCCCTCTTCCTCCAGCTGCAACTGTTGGGTACACTGCCTGGCCGGTTTGGAAACGCACGTCACTGTTTGCTAACACCACTGGCCCTCTCGAGTGCAGATGCAGACGCGCTCATCGAAAAAGGCAGCGACGAGCTCGTGCGAGTCAATCGCGTAATCGCCGACAACCTTGCTCGAAGCTTTCCCGTGCGCACTCCTCTTCTCCGTTCGGCTGCGAGTTAGTTCTCTCCACAATTCCACCGCTCATCCATGACAACAGATCAAGCTGGGCGGGAGCGGCCACGACTTTGGGAGCTGCCTGGCTGTGCTCACCAAGTCGCCACAGCTGCGATCGGAGATGGGCCACCAGCTTGCGTGTATGAGTGCCGCGGCCGGCCTGAGGTAACACACGACACACCCACCCACACACACACACACACGACACACGACACACCGATGGTGCTGGTTAGGCGCTGACACGTCAGCCGTATGACTCAGGGGCATCGGGGCGATATGCTACGAGGAGAAGGGCAAGAGCGTGGTGGATGGGGACAAGAACTACAAGGTGTCGCTGCGAGCGGTGCACGATGAGGACACCACAGTCATTGCCAAGTGCTACGGCGGCGGAGGACACAAGGACGCGTCGTCCTTCATCCTCCCCAGAGAGGAGTGGGCCGCATGGAAGACCACTACCGTCGATTGACGTCTTCTGCAACTGCAGCCGGTGCTCACTTGTTCCCATGCAACGGTTATAAAAGATGAAAAGCCAGCGAGTTTTCGGCGAGAAATGGGAGAGGCGTGTCGGACAGCGTCGGCAGAAGTACGAGGCAGCCCAAAGGTCCACAACACAGCCCCACCGGTGCACCAACCACACCTCACGCCCCACAAAGCTGCTTCTTCTTCATGAAACGAACATTTTGCCTTCGCCCTTCGCCGACACCCACCACCGCGGCAGCAGCCATCTTTCGCCACAGTTCGGCATCTTCGAACGCTTCGTTCTCGCGCGGTTGCTCGACTCGCACGACCACCACTCATCGTCAATCGATCACCACCCTGCGTCAACTCCACCCCATTCGCAACGTCAGATCGATTTCATCACCATTTTACGGTAAAATGCTGAGCAGCGAAGTCACCAACGAGATGCCTGCATCGCCCGCCACGTCGCTGTGGAGGCGTGCGCTGATGACCACCGCCGCGGCCGTGGCACAGGACAACCACCCCCTCTACCGCACTGAGCGCGACACCTTCGGCGAGATCAAGGTGCCCGCCGACAAGTACTGGGGCGCCCAAACCCAAAGGTGCACCTTCTGTTCTTTACGCTGTTCTGTATTCTTTATTCTTTTTTTCTTTTTTTCTTTTTCTTTTTTGAAGGTCTGTGCTATTATTATTTATAAATATATTTTATATTTGTACGCCTCGGCAGGTCGCTGCAGAACTTCAAGATCGGCGGTGTGCCGGACAGGATGCCGCTGCCGGTGGTGCACGCCATGGGAATCGTGAAGGCCGCCGCGGCCAAGGTCAACCTCGAGTGCCACGGCCTCGACCCCAAGCTCGGCAAAGTCATGGTTCAGGCCGCCGAAGAGGTTCGAGCCCTCTCCTCACCGCTCTTCGATCATAAGTGACTAACGACACGACACGACCAACGACACGACACGACTCGCCACAACACGACACACGACACACGACACACGACACACGACACACGACACACGACACACGACACACGACACACGACACACGACACACGACACACGACACACGACACACGACACACGACACACGACACACAGGTGATAAGTGGAAAACTGGACGATCACTTCCCGCTGGTGGTGTGGCAGACGGGCTCGGGCACGCAGACCAACATGAACGTGAACGAGGTCATCTCCAACCGCGCGATCGAGCTGCTGGGCGGCCAGCTGGGCAGCAAGACGCCCGTGCACCCCAACGACCACGTCAACATGAGCCAGTCGTCCAACGACACCTTCCCCACGGCCATGCACGTCGCGGCGGCCATGCAGGTCCACAACCTGCTGCTGCCCAACCTCGCCACCCTGCGCGATGCGCTCACCGACAAGGCCACCGAGTTCGCGCACGTGATCAAGATCGGCCGGACGCACCTCCAGGACGCCACGCCGCTCACCCTGGGCAACGAATTCTCGGCCTACGCCCACCAGATCCACAAGGGCATCGTGCGCGTCAAGGACGCCCTCGTCAACGTCTACGAACTCGCTCAGGTTTGTAGCACACGCACACGCACACGCACACGAACACGCACACACGCACACGCACACGGGTGTCATGGTTTCTTACGGGTTGAACGGTGTGTGCGCGATGCCAGGGAGGAACGGCTGTGGGCACGGGACTCAACACGCCGAAGGGCTTTGCCGAGCGGATCGCCAACGAGATCGCCGAGGCGACGGGCCTGCCGTTCGTCACCGCGCCCAACAAGTTCGAGGCGCTGGCGACCCACGACGCCATGGTAGAGCTCCACGGCGCCCTCAACACCGTGGCCGTGTCCCTCATGAAGATCGCCAACGACATCCGCCTGCTGGGCTCTGGCCCGCGCTGCGGTCTCGGCGAGCTGCTGCTGCCCGAGAACGAGCCCGGCTCGTCGATCATGCCGGGCAAGGTGAACCCGACGCAGTGCGAGGCGGTGACGATGGTGTGCGCTCAGGTGATGGGCAACCAGACCGCCGTTTCCATCGCCGGCGCTTCGGGTAACTTCGAGCTCAACGTCTTCAAGCCGGTGATCATCAGGTAACCTCCTGCCAGCACATCAATACCGCACACCGCACCTGTCACTCAACTCATGTGTTGTAATGATAGGAATGTGCTGCATTCGATTCGATTGATCGCCGATGCGTCGCTCTCGTTCACGGAGCACTGCGTGGTGGGCATCCAGGCCAACGAGAAGAGGATCGGGCAGCTGCTCAACGAGTCGCTCATGCTTGTGACGGCCCTCAACCCGCACATCGGCTACGACAACTCGGCCAAGGCCGCCAAGAAGGCCCACAAGGAGGGCACCACCCTCAAGGAGGCCTGCCTGTCGCTGGGCTTGCTCACCTCCGAAGAATTCGACAAGTGGGTGCGACCGGAGCACATGCTCGGCCCCGAGTGAGCGAGGCTATACTGCTCTTCTTGTACAAACCGCGGGGATGCCACGTCATCTTCAAACTTTTCCTGTCATTTTCCTCCGAGCAGTTGCTACGTTCTATTTCTCGATCGTTTGAAGGCTGCACATCGACGATCTGACGATTCCCAGCGGCGTGCAATTGCAAGGCTAGTAGACGTCGGCGCTAATTGGCGACGAATTAGGCTTGCATTTGTTGTTCCGCTCCCCCTCTCTACACTCCAATAAATTCCCTCCCCTCTCGCACTAGAGAAGCACATCATGCATCGTGGTGCGTCTGCCGTGAGCGAGCTGGCGTCGGAATACGAGAGCGCACTGCAAGAGTTGACCTTCAATTCGAAGCCGCTCATCAATAATCTGACCATCATCGCGGGCGAAAACATGCACGCGGCCGAGCACATTGTGGAACTTGTCGAGAAGCGATTGTTTAATGTAATTTGCCTCCCTCCCCTGCTTAACACTTCTCCTCATTTTTGATTTCGCTGGCCTTAATGTTTCTACTTTGTTTATCCATTAGGCTCCTCCAGAACAGAAGCTGCCGTCCATCTATCTCTTGGACTCAATCGTGAAGAACATCGGTGGCGTCTACCACGACTTATTTCAGCGCAACATCGTCTCCATCTTCCGCACCACCTACGACGCCGTCGACGAGCCCACGCGGGCCTCCATGCGCCGACTGCTCGCCACCTGGGTCGCCCTGTGGCCCCGCAAGGTCCAGCTCATCCATGAGCGAATACCATCGGCCGCTCTCCCCAGCGCCGCTCCCGCATCGGCGGCCGGCGCCGCGCCATCCGCCGGCGCTGCCTCTGGTCCCGGCCGAGGCATTCACATCAATCCCGCCTACCTGGCCAAGCTGCAGGGCGGAGCTGACCGACGCCCCGGCGGTGGCCCGTCGTCATCACGCCGCAGCCCGCCGCCTCCGCGCCACTCCATCTCTCCCCCGCCTTCCTCCTCTGCCTCCTCATCACACCGTCGCGACCACGGCGCGCGCTCTCCCCCGCGCAAGCGACCCCGATCACCACCTCGCTACGGAACCTCGGGCGGCGGCGGCGGCAGCAGCTACAAGTCCGCACGCCGCAGTCCGCCGGACCGCATCAACGAGATCCTCGGGCACACCGCCGGCGGCCGCGACTACGACCGACCGCATCGCGGCGAACCCGAAGGGGTACCTTCATTCGTTGCCCTGGCCGCCCAGCGCTTCGTGTAAGCTCACTTTTTCGTTTCCTCTCTCTCAATCAATCGCGCTCTGCAGCGAGGTGCCTATCGACCACGACCATCGGACGCCGGTGGCCGGTTCGGCGGCGGAGGCAGGCCCGACGACCCGCGACGGCCCGGCGCGCACCCGCACCCTGCCCCGCCACACCACCACGCCATGCCGCCGGTGGCCCCGAGGAGCGACTACAACCCGTTGCCCGGTATGACGGGCGGTGGTGGTGGCTATGGGGCGATGCCGCCGCAGGTGGCGGCTCCCGTGGCGATGCCGCAGCCCACAGCACCGCCGCCGGGCGGAGGTCATCAGGTCATTTTGGCCGAAGCCCAGGTCCTCATGCAGCAGCTCGAGCAGCGACTGCAGACCCAGCTGGGACAGCCCAACGTGGACCACAGCGAGGTCATGCGGCAGCTGGGCCAGCTGCGCGCTCTCCAGCAACAGGCCACCCAGATTTTGGTATGCGAATTCGTTGAAAAGTGGACTTTGATGTGACGCGCCAGGCGCTGACCGCCGTGTGACATATGCAGACGCAGCCCGGCCAACCATTTCCCATGGCCGCCCCGGCGCAGGCTGGCCTCGCCGCGCCTAACCTGGTGCAGAACCTGCAGGGCCTCGGACAAGGCCAGCAGGCCCGCGAGACCATTCTCTCGCTCCTGCAGGGCACGCTCGCCTCCGTCATTCCACCCGCCACCACCCTCTCGCCGCCGTCTTCGCAGCCCATGGGCCTTCCCGGCGCAGGAGCCTTCGCCGCCGCCGCCGCTCCTGCCCCATATGCGCCGCTACAGGTAACCATTCCTACACGACACGACACACGACACATGTGGCATGCTGGCTCACACATGTGGCACACGACACAGGCTCCAGCTACGGCCCCGGCTGGGATTCCAGGCCTGGCCCCGCCTGCGCCGGCTATGGCGATGCCGACCGAGGATCTCCTCAAGAACCTCATGAACATGGGCATGATAGGCGGTCCCGCCGCGGGGATGCCGGCCGCCGCCGCTCCCGGTATGCCCGCGCCTGCCATGGGGGCGCCTATAGGGATGGCCCAGCAGCCCGCCATGCCCGGCATGATGCCCAGCCAGCCCGGCATGCCTCCCGTACGCTCTCCTCCTTACGGCTCACTCCGCGCGGCAGCGAGAAATCGCGCACCACTGACCCGTCACCGCCTTTGTCGTATGTGTTGCGCGTCGTGTGCGCCGTGCGCCAGCAGATGGGAGGAATGCCCGCGGGCTATCCGCCACAGGGCGGGATGCCCGGTATGCCCATGAGTGCCGCCGCTGGCATGGCGGGGAGAGGACCCTACCACGGCATGCCCGGCGCCGGCGGTTTCGACGCCGCGCCTCCGGCCACTCATCGCCGACTCGACTTGGCGTGCGTTTCGCCCTTCCCGTTTTGCGCGCAGCAAACACGACGACACTCACACTTTGCTTTCACTTCTCTCGTCTCGTCCAGTACGGAGAACGTGCAGGTGAACAAGCTCTACGCTGACTTCGAGCTGCAGTGCGGTACCTGCGGGCTGCGTTTCAACGACAAGGACAAGATGGCCAAGCATCTCGATTGGCACTTTGCCATGAACAAGAAGGAGAAGCAGAAGACCAAGAAGGCCGTGTCTCGCCTCTGGTTCACCACCGCCGACGTACGTGGCCCCAATCTCTTCACTGCGGCCGTGACTCAACTAAACTCTGTCGTTACGTGTGGCTCGTGTGTGTGTGTCGTGTGTGTGTGTCGTGTAGGAATGGGCCACGGGAATCGATGTCGCGGAGAAGCCCGCCATGCCCTTCTTCAACGAGGCTGCGACGCAGGAGGCCGCGGAAACGCCCGTGATGAATGTCATCGCCGACGAGTCGCAGACGCACTGCGGGATCTGCGGCGAGAAGTTCGATCAGTTCTGGGAGAACGACCTGGAGGAGTGGATGTACAGGGGCGCCGTCAAGGTCGAGGGCACGGGCCAGCTCTTCCACCAGAAGTGCTACGAGCAGGCCGCGGCCATGACCCAGCAGGCCCAGCAGGCCCAGCAGCAGCAGCAAGAGCAAGAAGCTGCCGCCACCACCTCGGCATCAACGAACGCCGACTCATCGACGACGACGACGAACGGCGCCTCGTCTTCTCAGCAGTTCTGGGTCAAGAAGGAGCCGGAAGGAGAGGAGGGTGCCTCACGAGAAAATAATGCTAATGATACCACCCCCACCCCCTCCTTCTCCTCCGCTGAAGGTTCTCGAGCGTCCGCGTAGTCCCTTCCTCGGTTCTCTCCTCTCTCCTCTCTTCTCTCTTCTCTCTTTCGCTCTTCTTCTCTCTTTCTCTCGTCAGCGCGATGGCTCGAGGTCTCGGCGGACACCACCCACCACCTGCCCGCCCGTGTAGCGTCGCTACTGCGGCCGCGTCGCTGTCGGTTTGTCTCGCGAGAGGCCTCTCAGGGTACCCTCACTCTACAGGCCTGCGTGCGCTGAGGCAGGAAGAGAAGAAGGAGCCGCGGCAGCAAATGAAGTCTTTGCGTTGCGTGTAGTGGGCGGACCGATGAGAGAGCGGAGAGGAGGAGGCAACCCATAATAAACCACCAATTCGAACAAGCTAGATGCAGACCACCTACTAAAACCACTGAAGTATGATCACCAAAAGGGCCATTCTGCAGGTCTGCTGTAGAATGCTTGGTATGTCACTGGTGGGACGCCCACACTCCCAAACAGGGTATCAGGATGAAATGTCGACTGAAATTCCGCGGCATCGCCAGAACGTAGGGCCTCACCCCTCGTCTGGGCGGACATTAGGGGGGTGCTCGTTGCGGTGGTCACCACCAAAACGGACCGAAGACCTTGGGCTTGTGCTGTGTATTGTTTATCTTTTATTGAGTGCTGCAAGTTGGATACAAGCAAGACAAGACCACCACCAACTCTGCCAACCTTTCAAGAAAGAAGAGGGACCTAAAAATCCAACAGCAACAGCACACAAGCACGACCTGCGTGGAAGTGAGGAACTGAGAGCGCTCCTCCTTCTACAAGAAACAACCGCATCTCCTGTACGAAAGGAAAGGATGACGTACCAGGCCACCACGATGGTGAAGAGGATAGACCCGTTCCAGGTCCTGCCCGTGGAACTGAGTCTGTTGATCCTCAAACACATGGAACCGCGAGGCATGGTCCGCTCCGCCATGGTCTCCCGCTCCTGGCGCGACCTCGCCAACGACGAAGCCCTCTGGTACCCTTCTCTTCCTTTTATTTATCTGTTAATGTTAACAAATATACACAACATGTTCAACTTGCATTTATGATCTTTCTAGGAAAGAGCTGTGTGAAGAGCAGCTCAGCGCGCGGGACGGGCACGACATGGAGGCGCTCCTCCAGTCCAAAGAGAACGCTTCCACCACCTGGAAGGAGATCTTTCTCATTCACGGTACACCGCACGCGCACACGACCGCACACACCACTGCACACACCACCGCACACACCGCACACCAACGGCGGCTGATGGGTGATGACGGCGCAGCGTTCCACTTCAAGGAGACGCGCATTCTGAGCGAGGAGCACCGGAAGCTGCTGGCGACGGAGTGGCTCGATCGCGACGTGTCGTGGAAGCTCCAGTTCCGCGCGACCAGCGACGGCTTCGACCCCGCGGCCTTCCACCAGCTCTGCGACAACCGCGGGGCCACCATCACCGTCTGCGTCAGCGCCAAAGGGTACTACTCCCTCGCGCTCCCCCACTCGCCGCAATCAAGACAACTCACTGAGCCGTGCGTGTCGTGTGCCGTGTGCCGTGTGTCGTGCCGTGTGTTGTGTGTGGCAGGTTTGTGTTTGGAGGCTACAACCCAAAGTCGTGGAGCGTGGGATCGAGGGATCCGGAGCTGCGGAACAGCCCCGACGCGTTCATCTTCTCGATGACCAATCACGTCGACAAGCCGCCGTGCCGCATGTTTCCCACCAAGGACCCGCGCAGCGCCTGCAGCTCCAACAGCTCCTATGGGCCTGTCTGGGGCAACGGCTACGACTTGGTACCGCACTCGCATTCACCGCACACGCTCACCCGCACACCGCACACGCGCACCCGCACACCGCGTGTGCGCAATGACACGCGCTGACCTTCGCGGCGTGCGGTACAGGGCGTGTTTGGATTCCCGGACGGCCGCGGCAGATCGGCGTGGTGCCGGCTCGGCGCGACCTACACGGCGCCCTATCCGATGTCCGAGATCGGCAACCAGCACTACTTCATCGGCGGCAAGCCGCGCGACTTCGACCTGGCCGAGGTCGAGGTCTACGTCGTGCGGCGCGACCTGGGCCGCCGCCGCAAGAAGATCCTCCAGCGCCAGGAGAAGATGGCCGTACGACCACTACCACCGCCCTCTACTACTCCCAATGCTCATCTTGACACACGTGTGTCGTGTCGTGTGGTGCTGTCGTGTGCGTGTTGGGTGGTGCAGGAGCGAGAGAAGGCGTTGAAGAACTCAGGGTGGGCTTGCTCGGCTTGCACGTTTGTCAACGCCGGCACCAAGATCCAGTGCGCAGTCTGCGCCACGCCCCGGGGCAAGTCCAAGCTCTTCGCCAGCAGCGGCAGCGGCGCCCTACACCTGCAGAACCAGCGGGTTAGCCCCCTCCCTCTTCTCTTTCGTTTTCTTCTTCGTTCTTCATTTTCTTCATTCTTTTAACTCCTATTGGGCATTCAGACGCTCAGCGGCAGCAGCATCAACTCGGGAAGCCAGATCGGTAGCGTCAACAGCGTCGGCGCCCCCACGCGCACTCTGTCGCATCGCCAGCCGTCGCCGCTCAGCCCCGCCGCCTCGCGCCGCACCAACCCAGCCAGTGGCGGCAGCACCATAACCTCGCCCGCCGCCTCGCGTCGCAACCACAACAACCCCGCCGGCAGCGGCAGCACCATCACCTCGCCCACCCCAGCGCGGAGGTTCAATGGCGCCGCCAGCGCCAGGCCCAGCGGCTCGTCCACGCCCACCGCCGCCCGGCGGGCCAACCTCAACGGCTCGTCCGCCACGCCCAGCGGCCTGCGCCGCAACGCGAGCACGATGAGCCTCGTGGGCGGCGTCAAGGGAGGAGGCGCGACGCGGAGCTCGGACGCGCTGAGGCGGGTGGCGGAGGAGGAGGGCCCGGCGGCCATGGTGCGCCGGCTGTCGCGCGAGCGGGATCGGGACCGCGAGGCCGCGCTGGCCGCCGCCACGCGCATGGCTGACGTCGAGTCGTCGAGCAAGATCGCGGAGGACCGGCGCAGGATGCCGCCGCCCAAGGAGCGCAAGAAGAAGAAGAGCAAGTTGAGCCTGTCAGAGTCGTCTTCATCGTCGACTGATGAGATGATGGCCATCGGCTTCAGCACCAGCACAAGTACGACGACCACGTCGACGAAGCCGATGACTCTCCGCCAGAAGATCAAGTCGCCCTCCAACGATGACTTGAGCCCGCCTGCAGCGTCTTCATCATCGTCGTCATCGTCATCATCGTCATCATCGTCATCGTCGTCAATGTCGGCGACGGTGGAGAAGAAGAAGAAAACGAAGGCGAAGAAGAAAGAGAAGGAGAGAGACGAGAATGCGGAGGACGAAAGGGCGGCCAAGCTGGGCGAGGACCGGCGCCGCAAACCGACAAAGTCGACCGAGACGCCCGGGAAGCAGCGCGAGGGCTCCGTGCGACGCGAGCGGAGGGAAAAGAGCGAAGACGGCAAGAAAGAGAAGAAAGAGAAGAAGGAAAAGAAGAAGGAGAAGCGGAGTGGGTCATCTTCGACCTCGGGCGAATTCGCGGTCGATGCCGAGCCCAAGAAGATCGGGACCCTGCGCAAGCTGGTCAGCCACAAGCCCAGCGTCCAATTCACCAAGAACGAAGGTGCGTGTGCGGTGTGTGCGGTGGTGCGATTTCGTCATGATACTGATAGTTCTCTGGTTTCGATACGTGTAGTGAGCATCTCGTTCCGCCGACGAACCAAGAGCGTAGACAAGGAGAAGGAGAACAACGTCAGCAAGGCGCCCAACGCGCCTCCTCCGAGCTCCATCAGCGAACTGCGCTCCTCCGATTCCTGGAGCGTTCGTGCCAAGTGAACAAACAACTTGTTCAAGGCTTTGTGCACATTTCTTTTCTGTTTCTAAAACGTTTTTGAAACGAACACATCGCTGACAACACCGCACACACGGCACGCGGCGAAAAGAGGCGCGTGCTGTTTTTGTTTTAGGGCGTGGGTTGTTCGGTGTAGGAGGGGTAGCCCTTGTAGACCGAGGGCCAGCCGTGCGCCCATTCGACCTTGTCCGTGAGCATGTGGCGCGGGTTCCCGCCCGCGATCGCACCCACGCTCCACGCGTGGTACACCATGTACCAGCTCTCCTCTCCCGACGCTGTGCACACCGCACACCGCACGCGCGCACACATGTCAGTCGCACACGCCGCATACCATCGCACACACGCACACGCCGCACACGCACGTACCAGTGCGGAAGGGGACGACGGAGCAGTGGCCGGGGCCGGTGAAGCGGTTGGGGAGGGAGGCGTGGAGGATGGGGTCGCCGCGCTTGACGAACGGGCCGGTGGGCGAGGCGCTGCGGGCGACGCCCACCGAGTAGAGGCACGTCCCGTCCGGTCCGTGGGAGTCGTACATGTTGCCGCTGTAGAACAGGTAGTACCACCCGGCTCGCTTCACCACCCACGGGCCCTCACTGCGCGCCACAATCATCATCATCAGCACCAAGAACGAAGAGCGAAGAACGAAAAGCGAACAACCTCCCCCCCAAAGAACGAAGAACGAAAGAAGAGCGAAGAGCGAAGAACGAAGAGTGGTGGCACATGCATGCAGATGCCCTCCCAGTGGAGGTCGTTGCGGAGGAGCTCCTTCTGCTGGGTGTGCGGGGCGAGCGCGAGGCCATCGTCGGTCAGGGGCTGGACCCAGATGATGGTGGGCTTGCCGATGGCGTTGCCGTCCGACTTCCAGTAGAGCAGCAGCTCGGTGCGGCTCGTGACGCGGCCGTCAGCGTCGACAGACTGCACCTCGTGCTGGTAGAGCGTAGGGTCGATCGAGCCGATCGTCTCGTTGCGCACCAGCGGGTGGCCCAGATCCCTGCGTCGACCGCACACGCACACGCACACGCGTGTGTCAGCACACCGCACACACACCGCAAGTGTCATCGCACACACCGCACACGCGGCACGAGGGGAGGAGTACTTGTAGGGACCGAGAGGGGAGGAGGAGGTGGAGGTGGCGACGCCGACGCAGAGGAGGCCGGTGGTGTCCCGGGCGACGAAGTACACGCGGATGACGCCTTTGACGATGTGGAGCTCGGGCGCCCAGAAGTCGCTCACCGCCCAACTGGTCGACAACACGAATCAGCGCACGCACGCAACACCGCACACGACCGCACACGAGCGTCCAACGTACTGGGGCTTGGTGTGGGATTTGGCGGGGAAGACGTAGCCGATGTGCTTCCAGTTGACGAGGTCGCTCGACACATGGATGGGGAAGAGCTCGCCCGCTCCGTTCCTGATAAGTAATTAATTAATAAAAATAAATAATGGAAAACAAAAACTGACAAAAATAGAATAAATTGTTATAAAATATATATGGCCTGTACGTGGTGGTGACGGCGTAGTAGCGGCCGTTGTAGTGGACCACGCCCGGGTCCGGCGAGTTCGGGACCAACACCTGCATAATAAGTTATTATTATGTTAAAAAAACAAATGGATATAAGTGTGGGGCGCGTACGGGGTTGGAGTAGGAGGCGGCGGCAGCCAATCCGGCACAATAGGCGAGGAGTGCCGCTAGCACGAAGAAGAGGGTAAGACGTGCCATTTGGTGGGCAGAGAGGGTGGTGTTGGAGAGAAGTGTGCTGCGCACTTTCGGGTGCGGTCAGTGTTGCCATTGGTCGGTTGTATGATTACAATGTCGACAATCAAAAAACAACATAAAACAAAAGAAAAAGAAAAGGCAACAACGAAATCCGGTCGGCACAAAAAAAAAACAACAGAGAGAAGATAATCAGGACAAGAAGATGGGGACGATGGCGCAGGTGTTCTCGGTGCCTGTCGTGTTTCCCAACACGAGGCAGGACGACTCACTCTTCCAAATCTTCGATGCTCTCGAAGGCCTTGAATCCGTCGTCGAAGACGTTTTCGGTCGCATCAAGAACCGGGTATGCCCCACCCCCCAATTTCTCACTTCCATTGACTTCCTCTCATTGATTGCGAAAAACAGGTTTCACACGAAAAGAGCAGAATCGATGCCATCTCCTCGCGAATCGACACCGCCAAGGTACTCCCATTTCATTCATTACTATTTTACAAATCAATTGCACATGTTTAACACATCGACGTAGGCGAAAGTGGCGCGTGTAGCGGGGAGCACCAAGGCCATTGCCGTGCATTCGTCGGCGCGCTACCCGGCCCCCAAGCAGCTCGAGGAGTACCACCCGCTCTACATAGACGTGCCGCGCGTGCCGCCCAAGCACCCCAAGCACCGCCTTCCCGAGGCTCCCCAGGTTGTTCTCTCTCTCTCTCTTTTGTGTGTTGTGTGTGTCGTGTGTGTCGCGCTTTCATCATTTTGTCTTTGTCTGTTCCGAGTTCTGTTTGCCGTCGTGTCATCGTGCTGACCTGAACGCACGCCATCGTCGCTGCGTGCAGATGCCAATCCTTTCGCTGAGAGACCCGCTGGGCGACGACCCGTTCCTGCCGGAGAGCACGCACCTGCGTCGCTCCGAGAAATCAGAGGGTACACGAAACGAACCTGAAAAGCGCTTTGGCGCCGCTCACCACTACTTTGCTGTGAGGCCTAACCGAATCGCTCACGCACGCGCACGCAACAGATCTCAGGGAGGGCCTGGGCCGACTGCCGACAGAGCTGGAGTCGATCAGTTCCCTGCTGCTGTTCAACACGCAGGACAACCCCTACAAGAAGTACGTCTCGCTGGACAACTTGGCCGGCAAGGAGGTCGCAGCGCCCGTGCAAGACAAGAAGAGCCTCGCCGACGCCCCGACCACGCTCGGCACCGACGATCTGCCGCACGTACGCTCACCCACCCTCCTCTCGCTGCATGTTCTGCGTCTCACGAACGGCCGCACACGCGCAACCGCACACGCACACAACCGCACACGCACACATCGATGAACTAGGTGGGCTTGGTGGAGTACGGCTACAAGCCCGTGCTGGGCGACGTGCCCGAGTTCAACCTGCCGTCCGTGCTGCCCGACTTGACTATGGTGGCCGACATCAACTGGAACTCGGCCGACCTTCCCGAGTTTGCGCCCATCGCCCCCTCCACCAAGAACGTCATGGTCGACCTTCCCGACGTCACCCCCGGTACGTACCTCGAATTTTTATTCTAAATAAAAATAACGTAATAATAATAATAATTATAACTAAACAATAGATAAAGGCCCGGACGATGGTGCGGCGCCGGACCTCGACGTGCCGGATGTGCCGTTGATCGACGCCGGCGGTGGAATGCCGCCCCCGCCCCCGCCGCCCATGGGCAACATCTCCGCGCCTCCGCCCCCGCCGCCTCCCGCCGGGGCCGGTGCTCCGCCCCCGCCCCCGCCGCCGGCCGGCAACATCCCTCCGCCCCCGCCCGCCAACGTGCCCAGCTTCGACGAAGCACGTACGTGTTTGTTTGTTCCGACGCGCGCGTGGCCCTCTTGCCCGTGAATTGTTTGGTTGGCTCGGCTCACGCTCCCTCCGCGCTGCCTGCAGCGTCTGGCGGTGGCGACGCCCGCTCCAGTCTGCTGGACGACATCCGAAGGGGCCACAAGGACCGCCTCAAGAAGGCGACCCCGGGCAACCTCGAGGTAAGTACCACCACGACGGACAGCCACTAGACCTAGACTTTGCTTTTGCTTTTTCTCTTCATTTTCTTGACCGTGAACTCACCGCCGGTCTAACGTTCTTCGCGCACCCACAAGGACGCCCCGCCGTCCCTGTCCGGCGACAACCAGTCCGGCGCCGCTGTTCCGCCGCCCGCCTCGACGGTACGTACCGCCCTCTATGGTACTCCTTTGGCCTCGAGCGCAGACCTCGCTAATCCGTCATCATGCAGGGCGACATCTTCAGCGACCTCATCATGGCGCTGAACCGTCGTCGTGTGGGTCTCAAGGGCGAAGCTCCGCCCAAGAAGCGGACCAAGAAGGCCAAGGCCCCTGCTGCGTACGCGGAGCCCACCACCGCTTCTCACGTTATGTCGTGTGCGTGTGGCGCTGATGGTCGTGTGTCGTGTCGTGTCGTGTCCTTTGCGTCACAGAGAGGCGGAGATCAGGTTGCCCGACGTGGACGGCGACTTCGCGCCGCCCGATCTAGACGACTCGCCGGCCGTACCCGACCTGGGCGACGACGAAGGCGATGACGACGAGGGCTCCTCCGACTCTGAGTGGGAAGTGTAGACAAGCGCACCACTCAAGATGTTTATTTTCTCTCAAAATTACATCAAAATAAATGCAAAATAGAAATAGAGCATAATTGGCAACCGCCAACATAATAAATAATTATCTCTTTTATTCTCACAAAGAAATCCAGCCGCACCAGAGCTCATCAGGCCAGACAGATCTGAAGGCTTTTTGAGCCGGACCCCAGCGTGACGATCAACAGAATTTCTGGCGAAACGGGCACCTCGATTTTTGGAGTCGATGGGATTTACGGTGAAATGAACGGCGCCTCTTGCGCGGTCAAGAGGATAAATAGAGCCCCAGGCCACCTTTCTTCTTCATCAATCAATCCACACAACCAAGCAACACACTCTCTCAACGACTGCGACAGCAACCCTACCCTCAACACCCATCAATCACCCTCAACAACACACAATGGAACAGACCCAACAGACCCTCGGCGAGCTCAAGGACAAGATCGTCGACACTGTCAACTCCACCATCAACCAGGCCCACCAGACCGTCGACAACATCCTCGCCGACCAGCGCATGGCCAACGCCCGCGAGTTCGTCGCCACCGAAGCCACCGTGGCTGCCGGCTACAAGGACCAGCTCGTGGGCGGCGTCAAGGAGACCATCGGCCACCTCGTCGGCGACAAGGCCATGGAGCGCCAGGGCCGCGAGCAGAAGCGCGAAGGCCAGGCCGTCGTCGGCTCGGCCGATCAGGAGTCGGAGGAGAACCGCGAGGTCGTCGCCGACACCCTGATCAAGAGGCACGCGCTCATGGCCCAGGTCGAGCGCACCGGCGGCGTCGACCGCGCCCACCTCAACCACGTCGACGCGCCCGAGGCCGACAACCACATTGCCGAGCTCCTGCGCCAGGAGCAGTTCAAGCTCAAGCAGTTCAACAAGGAGCCGCTGCTCGAGGAGATTCGTGAGCAGAAGACCATGAAGCCGCTGGTCCACGTCGAGCCCGAGGAGAAGGGCCTCCTCCGCTCGGTGCCCCTCGGCGAGAAGGACATCACCGGCGACTTGAAGAGGAACTCGGCCGACGAGCTCAAGAAGGAGATCGCCCAGGCCGACCTGCGCAAGCTCAACCAGGTGAGCGACGACCAGATCAACGATCGCTCGGGCGCGCGGCTCGACGTGCTCAAGAGCTTGAGCGCGGCCCAGGCCAAGCGCGACGAGGTGGTCAAGCAGATCGGCAGCGGACTGGCCGCGACCGAGGTGTCGCTCAAGCACGTCGAGACCGAGGACAAGGCCAAGCCCGACCTCAGCGCCGCCGCGGGCACCAAGACCAAGAAGCTCAACAAGGCCCAGCTGCTGGACGAGGTGAGGCAGGGCGCCGAGCTCAAGCACGTCGAGACCGCGGACAAGGCCAAGCCGGCCATCGGCGACGATGTGAGCCTCAAGACCTGGAACAAGGAGGGCTTCCTGGCCGAGGTCCGCCAGGGCGCTGACCTGCGCCAGATCTAAGCTGGGCCTTCATCTCCCACAACTGTGCCATCACCGCCACCCAGCCATGTCTCCCTTTTACATCAATATTTGATGAGCTGCCTTTCTTCTCCTTTTTCAAAACCAGCCAATACAATCAATTGTAGACATTTTCCACCAAAGCAAGCCGCCCAAGCGACATGAAAAGCAAGGAATTCAATTTCTTTTCTTTTCTTTTATTGCTTGCTTTGATTTTCGAAGAAGGAGCTGAGCTAATCTTGAGCCCGACGCCGCCAACAAACAGTATTATATTAGTTATTTGTAAAGGAATATCAGCAATGGCAGAAGCAGGAAGCACATCGACCGCCACGGTTTCGCAGACAACAGATTCTGGCGGTTCGCCGTGGCAACACATCAATGTGCGTGGGGTGTGCCTCGGCCTGTCGATTGGCCTCGGACTCGCAGTTGCCGTCGCCGTGTGGCGCCGCCGTGCTGGTGCCTCTTCTTTCGCTTTGAATTTGATCTTTGATTATTTTGCGATTTACTGCATTTGCGTTAAAGAAGATTATTTTTTTTGTTTTTCGTAGTATTAATAAATACAAATAGAGCGAACAAGTCGAGCTTACAGTTTTCGGGCCTCCCAGGGAGAGACAGCGCTGAGCTGGCCGAGGCTCGACAGGTGGTGGCGGCACTGGCCCCGGAAGCCTCTTTGGCGGGGCAGCTCGACGCCCTGGAGCAGATGGTGCCCCTTTTTGCCGCCGACGGTACCGCACGCACCACCGCACGCGCACACGAACCACTCGAGTGTTAACGTGGCATGTAGTCGGTGGTGGTGGTGGTGCAGAGCCACAGAGCTTGCAAGTGTTCCGGAAGGCAGGCGGTGTTGAGGCGATCGTGCGGCTCTTCCTTGCTATCGACCTGACGTCCCCCCTGCCCATCTGGGCTGCGCCGGAGGCCTCAACAACCTCATCTACGGGCACCGCCTCCGTTGACAACGCACTGGCCGACGGCGAAACCGAAACAGGCCGTGCCAGCGGTATTACGAGCGAAAGCAACGACGACGGCAGCGCGCCAACGCCTGTCGGTGATGACGTCAGCAACAAAAACGAAAGCGAAAGCGAAAGCGAGAAAGAGAAAGAGAAAGAGAAAGAGAACGAAAACGAAAGCGAAAAGGCGGGGGATGGGGCTGAGGGAGAGCGGCAACTCGAGGAAGGCGGCAGAGAAGCTGCTGCTGCTGCGGAGGAGGCGAGCGATGACGCTCTGGTGCCACTGCTGGATACGGCCGAGCCGAGCCGATCCCTGACCCACCTGCTCGTGCAGACCCTGTGGATGTTTGCCGGCAGTATTGCCACGCCCGAGGACCGATGCAAGGTGGGCACCGCCAAGGTGATCGAGCAGGCCACGGCCATGTTCGAGAGCGACCGCACCGACATCCAGACCAAGGTGTGCAGCATTGCATTCCTGTCGTGCCTCGTGCGCAACGACAAGGCCTCGATACCGGTGCTGATGACCACGCGTGCGCGGTCGGTCATGTTCCGCGCGTTTGCGGAGGCCACCCCCGACACCGACGCTGAACTGCTCACGCGCCTGGCCTATGCCCTCACTCCGATCCTGGGACACAACTCTGCAGACCGTACGCGCTTTCCCCTTCGTGTGTCGTGTGTCGTGTGTCGTTTGTCGTTTGTCGTTTGTCGTGTGTCGTGTGTCGTGTGGCCTGACCGTTGAGTTTCGGCTCTCGGCGACGCAGGGAGCTGTTCGATCAAGACAATGTTCCAGAAGGGGATTGTGAAGCACACGTTCGATCTCTTGGAGCACTGCCTACAAGACGATGCAAAGTACAACATGACCACCCTCGCGCTGTTCCAAATCCTGACCGAAATGGCTGGTTTTGCCGATGGTATGACATGCACCACACTCGCGACACGCGCACCGCACTCGCGCTACACGACCATCAACACAGGGCGCAACATTTTCTCACACAAACCAATTAATTGCGGCAATAGTGGCCACGTGCAGACAGATTCTGGATCGCCAGCTGGCGGCGAGCCTCATCCGCGTGGTCCTCAAGCGATTGGAGACCAGCGAATGGGCCGCTCTCGCTGACACCCTCATCGTGCTCAACAGTCTCCTGTCTGAACGAACGGCTCCCTTCCGGCCCACGCGCCAAAGGTTCGCTACGCATTCCTTCCGACACGACACGACCAACGACACGACACGACGCGACAAGCTGTGGGGCTTGTTAGGAAGCTGACGACAAGTAACACGTTAATGTCATAAACAGGTTTCAGGGAGTGTTTATCGAGACTGAGACCGAGGTGTCGGAGGCGGCGGGCAGGACGGCTACAGGACTCGACGCACTCGTGGACGTCCTGAACCAAGCCATTCACCCCCTCGCGCCCTACGCCATCGCCGCCATCTTCCTCCTCTGCGAAGATAACGGTGCGTCGCTTTCGTTCTTTGCCCCATTCACCAAGGTTGCTGACAATTTTTATCAAATATCTTTGAGCGCAGCCGCGGTGCAGGAGTTCATGCGAAACAACGAACGAGCGATGGACACCCTCCGACGGTTCGGCGAGCCCGACAACCCTGGCCACGCGCCCGCGCAGGAGCTGCTGCTCTACCTCTCCATGCGCCACTCTCCCCAGTAACGGTGCGCCTTGGGAGGCTTCGGGAAAAAAATCAAAAATCCAATAAAGAAATAAAAGAAATAAAAATGGAAACAAAGAAAAAGCAGAGAATTGGGGCTGGCAAACATTAGTGCAAAGATCTTGTAGAGCTTGCCTGGCCTCCCGGGATGAGCTACAATTTCTTCAATCAGGTGATCCCGCCCACGGGGGTGGAGCTGTGCCTGAGTGCTCGATTCACGAGCGAGGACGATATCAACTTGATCGTGGCCAAGACTAACGTGCTCGAGGTCTACGCCCTCCATCGCCATGAGGATTCCAAGGCACGCCCAATCGATCGCCAATCGACCCGCCCCACTGTCCTCCCCTTACAAATCAATAAATTTTCAATTTGGCCCCAATTCATTCGCCCTTGAATTTTTAATGTAAAATGCCAAATAAATGAGAATAAACAGCACCTCCCTCCATTTTGTTTAGTGATTGTAATTTATTATTAATATCACTTTCCATTTTGGCACGCAACGACAGGATGGGGTCATTTCACTGCGGGGAGAGGAGCCGAAGGACGCGCCGCCGTACGCCGGCACACAGCACTCCATGCGGCTGGTGCTGAGCTCGTCGCTGTTTGGCAACATCGAGTCGATGGCCGCCGTACGATTCCCGGGCACAAGCAAGGACGCCCTCCTCCTCAGCTTCCGCGACGCCAAGGTACCTTCGACTCACATGTCGCTTCCTGCAATCAGCCTAACCGCACGCACACACGCCGCGACCGACAACGGCACGACACACGCGCACACGCAGATTTCGGTTTTGGAGTTCGACATCGCCACCAACGATCTCCGCACTATTTCTCTACACTACTTTGAGGACTACAAAGTGAAGGTGCACAGCCACTACTTCATTCTCTGCCCTGCCTCCCCGTCTACGGCTCGAGGCTGACGCGAAAGTGTGTTGGTGGTGATGGCGGCGTCAGGAGGGACACGACCACTACATCCACGTGCCCGAGCTGCGAGTCGATCCACAGCAACGATGCGCGGCGATGCTCGCCTTCGACCGTAAGCTCGTGGTGCTGCCTTTTCGTCAGCACGCCAGCCTCATGGAGATCGAAAATGGCGGACAAGAGGTGCTCGCCCGATCCACTTTCCTCTGTGCGGGCGTGCGTGTGCGGTCTTGCGTGTGCGGTAGGGCGTGTGCGTGTGCGTGTGCGGTCGTGCGTTCGTGCGTGTGCGTGAGCGTGTGCTTACGGGTTCGTGGTTTTTCGTCGATTTTGTGCTCCAGGACCAGCCCGTGAAGCCTTCCTTCCTGCTCGATCTGCGAGCAATGGGGATCATCAACGTCAAGGACTTTGTTTTCCTCCAGGGCTACTACGAGCCCACCCTCCTCATCCTCTACGAACCCACGCAGGTCCGATTATTTGTTTATATTATTAATATAAATAACTGAGATTTATATTCTAGTTTTCTTTGCCAGTAGTACTGACCCTGCGCGCATTGACAGACCTGGTCAGGTCGCGTCGCCGTGAACAGGAACACATGCGTGGCCGCTGCTGTATCGCTGAACCTCTGGCAACACCGGGTAACAACAACGACAACAACGACAACAACAACCTTGCATGAAGTAGTCACTGATCCACAATACGACAACAGGGACAGACGTCGGCGCATCCGGTGGTGTGGTCTGCCGAGTTCTTGCCCTACGACACTCAGCGACTGATCGCCGTGCCAGGACCCATCGGCGGTGCCTTGGCCCTGTCGACCAACTCGCTGCTCTATCTCAACCAGGTCTCGTTCCCTTATCGTCTCATTTTGCCCGCGCATGGTGCTGACGTCAGCATCACATCACATCACGACACGCAGGCCTCGGCATCGTGTCTGCCGCTCAACGTGTTTGCCGACCTGTATCTGTCGCCGCAAACGCCTTTCCCGTCCGCCGGCAAGAACCGGGTGGGCATCGCGCTCGACGCTGCGCGCGACGTCTTCCTCGCCGACGACCAGCTGCTCGTGTCGCTCAAGGGCGGCGAGCTGTACGCATGGCCCACTCCTCGCCCCATGCGTTATTTCAGCAGTACTCAGCTTGTGTCGTGCGTGTGTGTCGTGTATGTCGTGTGTGTCGTGTGTCGTGTGTCGCGCGCGCGTGTGTGTGTGTGTGTGTGTGTGTGGTGCGTGGTCCACAGATATATCTTCCATTTGCTGTCTGACGGACGAACAGTCAACGATATTCAGCTGACCAAGGCCGGCTCCTCCGTGATCACTTCTTGCGTACGCGCGCTCGGCCTCGCCTCTGCGCACACCGCGCGGCGAAGAGATTGACATCTGTTTGTTTTTGATTCCCCTCGACCGGCAGATGGCCACGCTCTCCGGCGAGGGCGCCGACGAACGCTTCCTCTTCTTGGGGTCGCGCGTCGGCGACTCCCTGCTGCTCCAGTACACCACCGCCGACGCGTCCGCGCCCAAGCAAAACGGTTCGTGGTGTTCTCCACTCTGTTGTTGGCTCGGTCGACATTTAATAATCACGCCCCACCACACCACCTTCGCGCGGCGACACAGGTGCGACGAAGGGCAGTCTGTTCGACGATATCAAGAAAGAGGAGGACAACGACGACGACGATGAAGATGAAGAGGAGGAGGCGAGCGGCGAGGGCGAGGTCAAGGAGGAGCCCGACGGCGAGGGCGAGGTGGACGAGTTCGGCAGGCGGATCCGGGAGGAGGACCGGCGAAAGAAGAAGGGGCTGCTGACCACCTACAAGTTCAAGGTCTGCGACAGTCTGGTCAACGTCGGACCCATCACTGACTTTGCCATCGGCGAATCCTTCGACCCCGCGTCCGTCTCCATGGCCGTACGACCTCCCTCCCACACATGCGTGTGCAGCGATGCGTGCATACGTGTGCGGTGTTGCGTGTGCGTGTGCGTGTGCCTGTGCGGCGGTGCGTGTTGCGCTCGTTTGACATTTGCGTGGCGCGGGTTGTTGCGTTGTGGATGAACGTTAGGAGCAAGAGGGCCAGCGAAGCGTCGAGATCGTGACGTGTTCGGGCCAGGGCAAGAACGGCTCTCTGTGCGTTCTTCAGGTAATCAACCGCCCACATTTGCAGATACCACGCGCCTCAATTCAAACAACAAAGTCTCGACTCAACGATTGACTTCTATCCACGCGTGCAGCATGGCGTTCGGCCGGAGCTAGTGCATGCATCGGCCGATCTGGCCGGGTGCAAGGCCTTCTGGACGCTCTACCACCGAAGCGAGGAACGACAAGGCGAAGAGGCGGAATACCACGCATACCTCCTGCTCTCGGAGGAAGAGCAGACCAGGGTACCCTTCGTTCTTCGTTCTTCTTCGTTCTTCCGTGTGGCAGCCGAGACTGACGTCAACTTGGTTGGCTGCCCAGGTGATTGCTGGCGACGGACTGGACGAGCTCTCGAACGAGGAGACCGATTTCAACGTGGCGGCACCCACCGTGGATGCCGGCAACCTGTTCGAGCAGACCCGCATTGTGCAGGTCCACCAGCACGGCCTCATTCTGCTCGACGGAGGTCCGTGCGCGCACCGTTACATAAATAATAACAATATTATCAAAAAGAACATTATTTAATAATAATAATAATAAGAATAATAAAATAATAATGACGTGATAGTAACGTGAGACTCACACGCACAATTGGACGCACAGTGAAAGCCACGCAACGCATATCGACGCCGGGACAGATCGCAGCTGCGTCGATCGCCGATCCCTACGTGCTTGTGCTGATGGCCGATGGCGCGCTTCGCCTCTACTTTGCCGACCCCACGTCCTCCAAGCTCGTCCAGACCTCGCTGCAAAACATCCACGTACCACTCCCACTCTCTTGGTCTCCATTTCAACTTCGCGCCTCGGCTGCTCATACGTCGCACACTCACACGTACGACCGCACACGCACACACGGGTGTACTCAGGAGGTGAGGGACATTATGGCCATGCATCTGTTCTACGGCGGAGCGATGCGGGGCAAGAAGGCGCGAACCAACGACGAGATCTTTGCGGCCATCGCCAAGGACAACGGCCGGCTCGACATCTACAGCGTGCCCGAGTTCGATCTGGTCTTCTCGGCCGAGCGCGCGGCCAACGGCCCGCGCCTCATCAACAACGTGCTCATGCGCCCGCCGCCCCAGAGCGCAGCCGCGCAGCAGTCGGCCGACACCACCAGCGCCCGCATCGCCGAGATCGCGCTGCACAGCATTGGCAACATTCCTTCGTTGCCGCACCTCTTTGTACGCGCCTTCCGCCCATTTCCCTGATCGCCGCCGGAATCTGAAGCATGTACGTGTTGGTGGCGGCGGCTCAGCTCTACCTGGACAACGGAGAGCTGTTGCTGTATCGGGGTTTCCTCACCTCCTCGTCGCCCGGAGCCGAGGGCGAGCTCGAGGTGGCGTTCAAGCGCTGCGACTACGACCCGCTCCCGCGAAGCTCCCTGGTCGACCCCGTCGTGGTACCCTCGCGCGGCTCGGAAACGCCCCCCTTTTAGTGCTTGATTTCCGCTTCTTCTTCTTCTTCTTCTTCTTCTTCTCCTCACACGCGCGGCCTCTTTTCTTGAACGTGCCCACAAACAGGCCCAGGCCCTCAAGCGGAAGAGAGAGCAAATGGACACCGACGACGGCGACAGCCCCGCGGAAGTCGCCGACAAGGGCAAGGAGAAGTCGGACGACCAGCGGGCTGGTACCGGCCCACGCACGCACGCACGCACCGCACATGGACTGCGATGCCAAACACTCACGTTCGTCGACTCGCAGATCACGCCCATCAGAAGCGGGTCAAGACGGAGAGGAGCGGGGACGACGAATTGCAGCTCGAACTGAACGCAACGCCGGCGGGTGACGAAGACGGTGAGACCGAGAAAGGTACCTGGCATCTCTCTTGCCACACGCACGCACGCGCTCACGACACACACGCACGACACGACACGACACGACACGCACAACACATAGAAACGTCGACACTACGCTATCGACGCATCCACTACTTCGGGACGGTGGGCAAGTCCAACGGCGTGTTCATCTCGGGGAGCGCACCGGCGTGGGTGTTTGCGCAGCGGGGCTACGCCCGGCTCTACCCGATGAAGCTCGACACCTTCGTCCGCGCCTTCGCCGAATTCCACAACGCCAACTGCCCGCACGGCTTCATCTATTTCAACCACGAGGTTCCTATTTAACTGTTATTATTGTTATTTCTTCTTCTTCTTCTTATGTAATTGCAATAATTTATTATTAATATTAATAACGTATATTATTCACATAAGAAATTTTAATTAAGATTAATTTTGCTTATTTATTTGCTCTACAGGGCACGCTCAAGATTTGCCAGCTGCCGGCTGCCGAGGGGGCGATTCACTGGGAACTGCCTGGGGTCGTTCGCAAGGTGCCGCCCGGGTTGCTGCTGCTGCACCGATCGCTTATGCTGACACACGACACGCGCACACGCGCACGACGCACGACACGCACGACACACGGTGCACCGCCTCAGGTCCCATTGGGCCGCACACCGAGGGAGATTGCGTACCACCCGCCGTCGCGAACGTACGTGGTGGCGTTGGCCACGCCGGTGACGACGGTGGTGCCCACGCCACCGGAGACGGACATGGAGCGGCAGGAGCGCGAGCGCGAGGAGGAGGAGTCGCGTGAGATGGGCATCGAACCCGAGGAGAAGCAGCGCGACATGGGTCCGCGCGAGATCGCCATGATGGAGGAGCGCCACGAGCTACATCTCATCTCCCCACGCACTTGGCAGGTACGACACGCACACGCACCGCACACGCACACGCACACCGCCGCACACGCGACACGACACACGTCAATGGTTGCGGTCTGTTGTTCACCCACATGCACGCCGTTCAGATTTTGCACCATGTCGAGCTTGAGCCCAAAGAGCACGTCCTCACGCTCAGCGTTTTGAAGCTCGGAGACAACTACAGCCAGGTGCGCACGCCTTCTTTTTACGTGTGCGTGTGTGTGCGGTGGTGTGTCGTGTGCCGTGTGCCGTGTGTGTCGTGTGCTGTGGAGGCTCATCGCTCTTCGCAGGTCAATCGCGAACTTCGGCCGTACGTGGTGGTCGGCACATCCTACGCCGAAGGAGAAGACGCCGCCGGTCGCGGAAGAATATCCTTTCCAACCCCTTTTCTTTTCTTTGATTCTAATTATTTGTTTATTTATTTTTATTTCTATATCTAAATAATGTTTGTTCATTTATTATTATTACTATTAATTTATTTATTTTATTTAATATCGTTCATGAACGATGGTAGCGATTCTTAACGAAGGCCTCACCTGCTGATCTATGAGATCGACGTCACCGGCGAGGAGCAGTGCAAGCTCACGATGGCCTACCAGAAGCCCATGAAGGAGAAGCCCATGAAGGGTCCCGTCTCCGCCGCCGCTTCGCTCCAGGGCTACCTCATCATCGCCGTCGGCCCCAAGGTACTCCTCACAATTTTATGAGTCTTGAATTTTATGAATATGTTCATATTCATATATATATATTATTGATTTATTATGAATTGAAATATTTATTGGTGCACAGATCTGGGTCTTCAACTTCGATGGCGGCTCGACGGAGGCCGTGGCGTTCTACGACGCGCCGCACTACATCGTGTCGATCAAGACCCTCAAGAATTTTGTGCTGTGCGGCGACATCTACAAGAGCATCTTCTTCCTCAGGTAAACCTCTAGCGCAAACGCGCGACACACACACACACACACCACACACACACACACACACCACACACACACACACACGGTGTCATAGTCTACACCGTCGTCACCTGTGCACCTGCTGCAGATGGAAGGACAGCGCGAGTCAGCTGGCGCTGCTGGCCAAGGACGTGGGCCGCGTGAGCGTCTTCGCCACCGAGTACGTGGTCGACAAGCAGAACCTCGCCCTCCTCATGTCCGACGAACGCCAGAACCTCCAGGTACGTCTCTGTCTACACGACACACACACACCGCACACACCGCACACACCGCGGCACTCACGTTGCGTGTGCTGTGGTTGTGTGGTCAGGTCACGGCGTACGCGCCGCACACGGCGGAGAGCCGCGGCGGGCAGCTGCTGGTGCCGCGCGGCGATTTCAACGTGGGCCAATCCATCAACAAGTTCGTTCGTCTGCCCATGACGCTCCCCTCGGGCACCACCTCGCTGCAGCGCCATGCCTTGTGGTTCGGTGCGTTCGACAACACGACACACATGACACGACACGGCACACGACACGCAACACGACACGAGGCTGACGTGTGGTGTGTGCGACATGTCAGGCACGCTCTCGGGCGGTGTGGGCTATCTGGCGCCGATGGACGAGTCGGTATTCCGTCGGCTGGGCATGCTCCAGTCGGCCCTTCTCTCGGCCATCCCGCACACGGCCGGCCTCCACCCGCAGGCCTACCGCGCCCTCCAACGCGAGCGCCTCCTGCGCAACCGCAAGGTACGCGTCACATGACACGCACCACACGCACCACATCCCTAACCTTGCGTGTGCGTGTGCGGTGGGTGGCGTGTGCGGTGTGCGGCGTGTGCGGTGTGTGCGGTGTGTACGGTGATGACAGCACACAATTCTGGACGGGTTGCTGCTGTCGCGCTACCTGGCGCTGGACTCGGCGACGCAGCAGCAGATCGCGCTCAAGCTGGGCACCTCGCGCGAGCGCATCCTGAACGACCTCCAGGGCATCCCGCAGTCCGTCACCCACACCCTCTGAGCTGGCCACCTTCTTCAGCCCAACCGACATCAACATCACCAGCAAAATAAATAAGATTTATTTGCTATTAATTGAGTTGTTGGCCACAGAAGGCCTCGATGTTTTTTCTGAATGTGGCTCCTGTACAAATCAGCAACAACATTATGGTGGCGTTGTAGGTGGGTGGCGCGGTGGCAGGATGGTGGCCACCGAGGCGGCGCCATCGGCGCCCCAGAAGAAGCGCCACGGCTTGGGCAGGTGGTCCAGGCTGAATGGTCTGCCCCTCTGTCCCATTCCCCCCACCCTCCCCCATCATCAGACGTCCATCATCACCAAAAGACTACACGACAACACATCAACACCATAAGCAGCGGCCTGGTGGGGCGGTGCTGCGCGGTGAATGCCAAGTGCCAGCGCTTCCAGCCCTCAACTGCCGCAGCCGACCCCAAGCTGTGCAGCACGTGCGGCCACCACCAGAGCTTCCACCACGCCATGCCCACGCCTTCGCTTCAGCAGCCGAAGAGGAGGCGCACCTCAGCTCCAAGAGCCGCCCCGACACGACACACGACACACGACACATACACGAACTGAGACGAGAGAGAGAGAGAGAGGTACCGGGGAGTTGTCTACAAAGAAGGACGCCATGTTGTGCTCCACCCGCACCTCCACCTCTTGGCCTTCTTTAAAGCCTGGTGATGGGGGAATGTGCAGTGCCGCCAAAACGAAGTGAGCCACAACTGGGCCAATCGGAGGCGGATGAGTGAAGAGGGGGGGATGGGGTAGAGCGTAGTGCCTGTGTCGGATTCCGGAGCCGGGTCATAGTGCGATACGGGCTGGACATTGAAGGAGCCGTTGACGTTGTAGGCCAGGCGGAGGTCCCACGTCACTCCATACGAGGGCTGCGGGCCACTTCTCCCATTCCAACCACCACCCCCACCCCCAACGGTTGGTCAGACTCTAGAGTCAGGCATTCCTTCTCACGCACATTTCGCACACATCTCACACATCCCACACACCACCACCGCACACGCACACATGGCACACGAACGAACATAACATGTGGGAGAGGGAGAGGTGGTACGTTGGGAGGCGTTCCTGGGGAATGGGGCTTGCCACGCCGACCATCCAGAAGCCCGTTTGCCTCGTCACATGGAACCGAATCGATGCTGCGTCCCCCAACCCGCCCGCATGTGGGTTACACGACACACACGACACACACGACACACACGACACACACGACACACACGACACACACGACACACACGACACACACGACACACACAACACACACGACACACACGACACACACGACACACGCATAGGGGATCGAACCAGGGCCGCGGGCAGGGATGGGACGTTCGACCAGCAGCAGGGAGGCGTCCCAGTTGTCCCTGTGCAGTACCAGCTCAACGCGCCGCCTGGCCTTGTCGAGCAGCAGCGTCTTGCGCACGCCCTGCTCCTTCTCGCTCGCCAGCACAGCCGCCGCATCCGACTTATCGGCCACCTTCAGTCCTCCTGTGTGGTCACCACACACGACACACGCACACACGCACACGCACCGCACACACACACACGCTTCAGTCCAGATATCGGCGGCGAGGCTGCGCAGCGCAGCGGACAACGTACCGTGCGGCACGTCAACGTGCAGGCTCTCCTCCAGGCCGAACCGCCAGCCCTCCAACTCTGGTGTCATTTAAAACACAAATTAGAATAATTTTTTTATTATTATCTGGAAAAAAGTAAGCGAGAGGGGCACCCGTGCGGCAGAAGGAGCGCCAGCAGAGCTCGGGCGCATCGCCATCGCCATCGCCCTCGCCTACAAGACGCCAGCGGAGGGCGTAGAGGCGCCAAAACTCGTTCGACGTCCACGACGACGGCGACGAGCCGCACAGGAGTCGATGGAAGTCACGGGAGGCCAGTGCCACGCCCAGAAGCACGTCGCGCACCGGCAGACAACCCACCACCTCCCACACCAGCTCCCGTGGCAGTGCCTCCATCTTCTTTGTTCTTTTTCAAAAAGGGGAAGAAGTGCTTTCACGAAATGTGTACGAATTCTTTTGTTCGAATGAAAGCTGTTACGAAATAATTCGAAAAGCATTACGAAACAATATCAAAGCGACGCCACGCCTTACTGTGCCTGGCGGGGTTGGTGGGGTGTCTGTGTAATTTCTGACATGTTCGACAAAATTACCTGTGGCCAGCAAATCACAGAGGGGAGAGCAGTTCATCTCCGCTGGCGCAGGAGGACCGCTTGAAATTCGCCTCAACTTTGTCTGGGCTTGATCCCCTCTGGTAAGTGTCCCCGGACCATCGCCCCATTCTTTCTCGATCCATAAAAGCCTCGACCTTTCTTCCTTCTCATCTTCATCAACAACCTACAACTCAGCTCTAACAACAGCTTCAACAGCATCATCAACATCAATCACCTCCAGCTTCATCAACTACATCACACAAACACAAACATGGACTCTTACGCACTTCAGGCCAAGGAGAAGGTGGAGGAGTACAAGGAGGTCATCGCCGACAAGGCCGGCGAGCTGGCCGGCGACGTGCGCGACCGCTCGGTCAAGGCCGGCACCGTCATCCGCGACAAGGTGGCCAACCCGCTCGACACCATCTCCGAGGCCCGGGCCGGCTTCGACTCGCTCTTCGCCGCCGAGCGGGTGGACCGCGCCCGCGAGTCGCTCGAGACCGACGCCGCGCTGGCCGTCGGCTACAAGGACCAGTTCCTGGGCGCCGTCAAGGAGGCCTTCGGCCGCGTGCTCAAGGACCAGGAGCTGACCACGGCCGGCCACCTGCAGCGCACCAAGGGCGAGACCGAGGTCAGGCTCCAGCGTGCGCGCGAGGAGGAGAAGCAGTTCGCCCGACTGAGCGCGCAGTTCATCGAAGTGCTCAAGCGGCGCGAGGCACTCCTGTCACAGCTCGTGCACCACTCGTACCGCGACCAACTGCGCCACGTCGAGCTGCCGATCGAACCCAGCCCCAAACAGCTGTTTTTCAACTCCGGCGCAGCCGGTTCGGAGTTTAAATTGCGCACTGTCGACCGCGCGCCGCTGCTCCGGGACATCCGCGAGCGTCGCACCATGAAGCCGATGGTCTACGTCGACGTGCGCGAGCGCGGGCTGATGCGATCGATCGCGCTGACCAAGGCCGACATGCCCAAGGGCGGCATCAAGGCCCGCTCGAACCGCCTGGCCGACCTCCGCTGGGCCATTCGCCACAGCGACGTCCAGAAGCTGCGCAGCGTGCCTCGGGCGAGCATCAACGACCGGTCGAGCCCGCGACTCGAGGGCCTCACCAGTGCCGGCCGCACGGTCCAGGCCCGCGAGGTGCTCGAAGAGGTGAAGCAGGCCAGCAAGGCCGAGCTCAAGCACGTGGAGACCGTCGACAAGTCCAAGCCGGTCATCGCGATGGACAAGAAGGAGACCATCAACGAGGCCAGCTGGGATCGCCAGAGCTTCCTGGGCGAGATCCGCCAGGGCACCGAGCTCAAGCACATCTAAAAACAAAAATCTCCACCAATTATCTCTCTTCTCTTTATCTCTTCTCCCCTTCAATAACATTTGAGTCTATGACTCTCCGCATTACTATATTAAAACATTTTCCAGCCACATTTTGCACATTGTTCCTCGTTTTTTATGGCTGCACTGCAACATAAGTAAAAAAATGAAAGAAAAGAAAAGAAAGAAAAGAGAGTTGGTGTTGGTGGGCGATCAGTGGATGTTGTTGTGTCGGCGGAGCCACTTCTCGAGGAAGACCGAGGTGAGCGCGGCCAGCGAAATGCCGACGTCGTCGGCGAGCGAGACCACTCCCAGCGAGAACTCGCGATCCTTGTCGCTGATGGTTTTGTAGATCATGTACATGCTGTTCACATACGTCGCTCCGCCCAACAGACCCTGCCCACACACGCACAGTTATTTACATTAACATCAAACACGTGTGCGGTGGTGCGTGTGCGGTGGTGTGGTCTTGTGCGTGCGTGTGCGGTGGAGGGAGGTTGGTGGTGCGCGTACCTCCCAGAAGATGATGGGGAAGATGATGTAGACGTAGGGCACGAAGTTCCAGTAGGCCTGGCAGAGGAGGAACACAAAATTGGCCGCCTGGAGGACTCCAGGAATCCAGATTTTCTCAATCGGAAAGATGTCCACCGACGATCGCGACACGAACACGCCTGCGCCACGTCCCCGCACACACACCAACATGTGAGTTTCCTCCATCGTGCGTGTGCGGTGCGTGTGCGGCCATATATGTGCGTGTGCCGTTCGTGCGGCGTGTGCGGCGTGTGCGGGTGAGGGAGGATAGGTATGTACCGATCTGGTACATGAGTCCGTAGTACTTGTAGACCTTGTCAGAGCCCCACCCGTCGAAGACGAGGGTGGCGGAGATGCCGCTGTTGATGGCGTACTCGAAGTAGTACACGAAGAACAGCGGGATCATGTAGGGCAGCAGCGGCTGAGTGCACCCACGCACGCACCCTGGTGAGCGACGCGCAACACAAAACACGCAACACGCAACACGCGCCACCGCACACGCATCACACGATTGCACATACCTTGATGAGCGCGAATTGGGAGAAGAAGCGTCGCATCCGCATGCGGAACAGAGGCAGGCCGGAGGGAGGTGGCGCGGCGTAGCTGTCCTCGAGGATCTGAACGGAGAGGCCTCGGGTGTCGACAACCGGCGGCGGCTGTGCTGCGTAGGTGCCACCCAACGACGGCGCAGCCTCGTCGTCTTCGTCCACCTCCACCGCCGATCGTGGAGACAGATCGTCTGGACCCACGACAACAACACGCAATCGACAACAAATAAAACAATATATTACTGTGAGTATTGTTCTATATAAATATAAATATATATATGATAAAAATATGAAATGCTGGCCATTGGTTGCGACGGAGCAGCAGAGTGTTCCAAAATGACTCACCCATTTCGATCTCGGTGTTGGGAGCGTGATTACCTTCTTCGGAGACGGGTATGTAGATGATCTTCTTCTTGTTTTGCTCCCCCGTAATGAAAACGAAGAAACTGGAGAGACACGACACACACAACACGACACAAGCGCAGGACGTGAGCGAACTGGCTAGGACTGAAGTGGAGCGGAGGTGCCGAATTAAGTTACCTGACAGCGATGAGTACGGGGAGAGGGGAGACGGCGAGCAGGGAGATCTTGGAGGAGAGTCCGATCCACTCGGTGAGGCCCAGGTAGGCCACCGCGCCCAACACGCCGGCGCCTCCCGTACCCGAGCTCCACGCCGACAACGTGAACCTGCGTGTGATCACACCACCTCACCGACGTCAGAATCGCACACGCACCACCGCACACGCACGACACAAGACAGGAGAACGGTACTTGGGGTAGAAGGAGGCGAGAGCGAGGAATGTGATTTCGCCGAAACCGGCACTGAAGGAGGCCAGCACCACGCCCAGCAAGCGCAGCCAGGCACTGTTTCGACGACGTCGACACGCATTTGATGATGAGACTGACGTGGAGCTGAAGGGCAGAAAGAGCGGAGAGAGAGGGAGGGAAGCCGGTGCCTTTCGCCCCACGCCACCAGCTGGAACGAGCCCAGAGCAGCGGTGGTCAACACCACGACTCGCAGCCTGTGATGATAACAAACGTTCGTAGGCATGAGTGTCGTACAAACGCATGTGCAATCGCACACGCCACCGCACGACGCACACAGCAACGAGAGTGGTGGCGGGTTTACCAGTAGGGGATGCGGTGCATGAAGAACGGCGCGATGAGCTTCGTGCAGAGTGTGGGCAGGATGTCGGCCAGCAAGACGGCGCCGCTGCTGCCCTTCATGATGTCCTCCGCCGCCGACAGGAATATCACATACCCAAAACTGCTCCAAACATTGTCGCTCGTTATTTTTCTATTGTTTTATTTTTATAAAGTTATTGGCTGGGGGTGTACTTGTTGAAGAGGCCGAGAACAAAGAAGCCGATCCAGTTCCGGAAGGCCGCAAAGGAGGGCATCTGCCACTCCGAAAACCAGCCCATCTCGAGTACCTGAGAAATTGATTAATTGATTTATGGCGTGCCGGCAACTAATCATTAGATAATGATTGAAACACGGCTCAGCGAATCACCAGCAAGGTACCTCTCACGAGTTATTACAAGAGGAGACGAAGAACACAAGCGCGAAGATGTCGCCCCGCTTTCGTGTTTATGTTGATTTTCTTTTATGTTCACTTCACATTTCCCTCGCATTTTGCGTTTGAAATCTGGTTGGCTGGTTTGATAGGTTGATTAATTCATTTAGGGCTATATTGCTGTCGGTCGTGCAGCAACGTTGATTGCGGCACAGCAACTCGCGTAAGAGACAGAGTCGAAGTGAAAGGCCAAGGTCGCTACCTTGCGTGAGTTTGCCTTGGTGGGCATCTTGAGATAGTTCAGGAAGAAGAGGAGGAGAAGGAAGAACGGCTGCCATGGCCTCGACGGGAGACTGGAAGAAGGTCACTGAGGAGCAGGTGGATCAATGGCAGAGGAAACAGCATGGTGTCAAGAGATGGATTGAAGAGATCTTGGGGATGGAACTGGAGAGCGAAGACCTAGCAGGTCCGCTACAGACCGGAGTCGTGCTGTGCCACGTGATACGACGTCTCGATGAACGGGGTACCTAGCCGTTTGCGTGTTCGGCATTTATATTTTTCATTTATAGTTTTCTTGAATCGTTTGAATAATTTATCCATTGATCTCCTTTTGGTCCACCCTGCAGCTATTCCTCGCATTCAAGAAGACACAAAGCAGCTCTTCAAATTGAAGGAAAATGTGGAGTTCTTCCTCGCCGCCTGCAAAGACATGGGGGTACGATCTCATCCTCATCTCTTGTCTTTCTCTTTCTCCCTCCATGGTGCCACGATGATTCATCAGCCAGAGCTTCGCAATCGATTGATTCATCCATTTCATCATCCATTTTTTCATTTGGCGCGCTACAAACCTCAAATTTCAACTTTGTAGCGTACGATTTCGCAATGAAGCTCATCGATGATTGCTGCTACAGGTGCCAGCCTTCAAGCTCTTCAAGGGCCCCGAGCTGTGGGAGGGCACGGGCATGGTGTTGGTGATCGAGAGCTTGGTCGCGCTCGCCGCCATGGTGGAGCAGCAGTACGAGGGCGCGCCCCCGCTGGTCATCGACGACCAGTGGAAGCCGCCCAAGCTGACCGACAAGCAGCTCATCGAGGTCAAGAAGCAGCTCGTGCGCATCAAGGACAAGCCCGTCTCGGGCGCGCGGCCCAAGGTCTCCCCGCAGATCGTGCTCAAGAAGCTCGCCCTCATGGCCGGCAACGGCGTCGACAGTACGTGCACTTACTGACCGCTGTGGCTTCGTCATGGACTATGGACTCAACGCACCCCTCTGTGTCTGCAGTCAACACGTACGTGCCGGCCTTCATCCGGTTCCAGAGCCTCGTGCGCGGCTACCTGCAGAAGCAGCGCTACAGGGCCATGGGTGCGTATTCTCTGTCGCGTTCTCTCGCATCGACTTTGCTTAGTTGAGCTCAATCTCAGACTGACGGGTCGCCGCCGTTGTGTTCGCTCTAGTCCGTAACGTGGCGTACCGCAGCCGAGTGGCGCACGAGATCCTCGACACGGAAAGCTTCTACGTGAAGAGCATGAACCAGTGCATCACCGTCTGGCTCAACCCGCTCAACGATGCCATCGCCTCGGGCTCGCCGTTGATCAACGCCGCGGACGTCCGAGCCATCTTCTCCGACATCGCGCTGCTCTACACATTCAACTCGGAGCTCTACTCCGAAATCGAGAGCCGAGTGGCCAAGTGGGGCACCTACGAGTGTCTGGGCGACATATTCCTTCGCCTCGTACGCTCCTTCTCCTCGTGTGTGCGTGTGTGCGTGTGTGCGTGTGTGCGTGTGTGCGTGTGTGCGTGTGTGCGTGTGTGCGTGTGTGCGTGTGTGCGTGTGTGCGTGTGTGCGTGTGTGCGTGTGTGCGTGTGTGCGTGTGTGCGTGTGTGCGTGTGTGCGTGTGTGCGTGTGTGCGTGTGTGCGTGTGTGTCTCTAACGATGTCGTGTGTGTTGTGCTTGCTTTTTCGCTACAGGTGGACTACCTCAAAGTCTACACGGCCTATGTACAGAACTTCAACACCTCGATGGCGGTGATCGAGCGCGTTCAGAAGAAGAAGGAGGTGGCCGCCTATTTCCAGAAGTGCAAGGAGCACCCCGAGGGCAAGTCGCTCGACCTGGCGTCGTTCCTCATCATGCCGGTGCAGAGGATCCCCCGATACAACCTGCTCCTCACCGACATGATGCGACACACGTGGGAAGACCATCCAGACTACAACAACCTGAAGAAGGTTCCCTTTATCTTCAATCGCACATTTATTTATTTATTTATATGTTTATAGGAATTTCTATTTACCTTTAAATATTTATATTTATTTATTTATTTATTATTATATTTGGTGTTCGTTTGCCTGCAGGCCACAGACAAGATCCAGTCGATTGCCGCCTTCATCAACGAGCGAAAGCGAGAAGCCGAGAACGTTTCCAAGACGCTCGAGATCTCCAACAAGATCACCGGCAACGACAAGGTGCGCGCCTTGTCATCACGGGCGTCAAGCGGGACCAACGCAACTAAGTCCCGCAACTAATTCAATCATTTCCATTTTTGTGTGACAGCTCAATCTGACCGAGCCCGGCCGCCGATACGTGCGCGAGGGGGTGTTTAATGAGGGAACGAAGGACGAGGTGGTGGCCTATCTCTTCACCGACATCGTGGTGCTGGGCCGGCCCTCCAAGAAGCTCAAGGTGCTCGGCCGCCACAGCGTCAAGTTCCAGGTACCCACCCATCACCCCACACGCACACGCACACGCACACGCACACGCACACGCACACGCACACGCACACGCACACGCACACGCACACGCACACGCACACGCACACGCACACGCACACGCACACGCACACGCACACGCACACGCACACGCACACGCCGACTCAAGTTTCGGTTATTTGTTGGTGTAGGATTCCTTCAAGTTGCAGATCGTGGAGTTGAAGGAGGGTCCGGCCGGTTCGAACGTTATCGAGTTCGTGCAGCTGGGCAAGAACAAGGTCCTCGCCAGGCTCGAGGCCAAGTCGAAAAAGGAGGTGGACGACTGGGTCAAGGACTTCAAGAAGTCCAAGGCCGAACTGACCAACCAAACGGCCACCAAAGAATCACGTACGCGCAACTGCACTTATTCTTATTAATTAATTAATTAATTAGTTGTTATTAGTTTGTTTCTTGCCAGTGATCGACAAGGGAGAGAAGCCCAAGATTTCGGCCGAGGAGCGACTCAAACGGCGGACGCGAGCAACGAAAACCGGAGCCGAACTCAACTTTGTACGCTCTTCTTTGGAGCGGCTTCTTCTTCGACAGCAGTTATTGACGACGTATCTTTTCGTGTTGGGCTCTCAAGGAGGACGAGGAGAACGAAGTGGTCACACAGTTGAAGCGGAAGCGAGAGGCTCTCCTCGCGCAGCTCAACGAATTCAAGGAGGCCGATGGCGGCGACAAGCGCTCCAAACGGCGAACCAAGGCGCAGCGCAAGGACACCGTCAAGTACGTCGCGCGCGTGTGTTGTGTGTATCGTGTGTGTCGCGTGTGTCGCGTGTGTGCGGCACCAACTCACGTTGCGCGCACAGATTGTTCGAGCAGCTGCAGGGCGAGCTGGACGAGGTGGAGGCCGCCCTCGCGCAGCACCAGACCCTCGCCCCGGCCAAGCTCAAGCGCAAGGAGGCCGCGCCCGAGAAGTCCCTCTCCGCCACCCAAGACCTCATGAAGTACCCCCTCACCTCCCCATCACACCCTCGTGCTGACGTCACCCAGCAAATCTAGCGAGTGCTGACGTCATCATTCCTGCCCCCCCAAATTCCAGGTCGAGCCCGCAGCCGGCCCGAAGCAAGACATGCGCTGGCAGCGACAGCCGGTCCGCGACCCCGACCAAGGCCGAGCCCGCCGCCGGGGTGGCGCCCCAGGAGCAGTACGGCAGCAACGGCGCCACGCCGGTGCCGGGTATCGTGGTGACCAACACCGACACCACGAATTGCGACAATGCCGCGTCGACGTCGACGACGACAACGTCGACAACGTCGCCGCCGACGAGCCCGCGGCAGCAGGCGCTGTCGCACTCGAGCGAGAAGGAGATCAAGCAGCGCAAGCGGGAGGAAAAGAAGGCCGAGAAGCTCAAGAAGAAGGAGGAGAAGAAGCGAAAGAAGGAGGAGAAGAAGGCCGAGAAGCAACGGCTCCGCGAGGAGAAGAAGCTGTCATCATCCAGCTCCGGCGGCGGCCGCGCGCGGCGAGGCACCATCGCCACGGGGTCGCCGTCGCGCGACGGCATCGAAATTTCGATCACCCGGACCGCCGTCGGCAGTGCCACCAACGGCACCGCCGGCGTGAGCCAGAGCGGGTCGACGCCGACCAAGCTCCGCGCCGACGACGACGAACTGGAGTCCGGCGCCAAGTCGCCGCGCAAGCCCGGCTCCAGCTCTGAGAAGGGCGCGTCGGCCGAGGCCGAGGCAAAGGGCCGCCACGACAAGGGCGCGTCGGCAGAGGTGGCGAGCAAGAAGGCGGCCGATGCGAAGTCGGCGCCGTCGGGAGGCGACGATGATGGTGGAGGCGAGTTCTATTCGTACGAGGAGCTCAAGAAGATGAAGGACAAGCTCGACCGCACCAAACTTGAGGTTTATCTCCTTACCTCCCGTGAGCTGTGTGTCCGTGTGTCGTGTGTGTCGTGTGTGTCGTGTGTGTGTGTGTCGTGTGTGTGTCGTGTGTCGTGTCGTGTGTCGTGTCGTGTGTGCGGCGTGTTGACATCGTAGCCTGCGCAACAATAGACGTGGCTGGCGCCCGGTGAGTTCCGGACTGTGTTCGGGATGAGCAAGGAGGAGTTCGCCAAGATGCCCGCCTGGAAGCAGAAGCAGAAGAAGGACGAAAAGGACCTCCTCTGAGCACGCACTCACCCACCCACGTTGGTGTGTTATTTATTATTTATTTACAATTAATTATTTACTTCCTATTTATTCTTTACATGTGTTTATTTCTTTTTAAAAGAAAAAGAAAAAGAAAAGACACAGACTACTCTCTACTCTCTACTTCGGGCGCACTGCTCGAAGGGAGACCATGAGGGCAATGAGGCAGAAGAAGACGAGCGAGATGCCCAAGACGTGGTGTTCTGGCGGGTCATCCCTCTCCGGAACCGTGATCGTAACATTCGGCGGACACTCCACCGGTGCCTGCCAACCAACACACACACGACGTAAGTGCTCGTGTCGTGTCGTGTGTGTCGTGTTGTGAGTTGTGCGATCGTACGGGAATATGGAAATTGGGAGGCAGCAGGCTAGGGTCGCCTTCGGCGTGGAAATACACCACGCGGCTGTTCAGAGGCTGCACTGGCCTGTGACACACCACACGACCCAGTGAGTGTCAGAGTTGAGCGCGTGTGCGTGTGCGGTGGTGCGTGTGCGGTGGTGCGTGTGCGTGTGCTGCGGTACCTGTTAATGTGAGGATAGATCTTGGTGAACTCCTGGATCTGTTCGGGGAGAGCGGTCATCGTGTGCGAGAGCACCAGCCACGTCACCCGCTCGTCGCAGTCCGGTATCGTCAGCGACCCACGATAATACTACCCCACACCCGCCACGTCAGCAAGCAGCCCCGACTAGTGGTAGTGATGAGGCGGCGTACGTAGTAGGATGCGTTGCGTGGTATCACGCTCATCACGTCGATGCCGCCGACCGGACTGTGCGCGTCCGGGGTCTCGATCTGGAGGCGCGCGCGTGAGCGCAGCGCTCGGGTAAGGGGGAAGCGAAGGCAAGACGTACGTCGTGGATGGGGTACTCGTACTCGGCGAGGAACTCGGAGTAGGGACCCTCCTCGAAGAAGACGGCCACCACCACCAGGTCCATGGTGCCTCGGGCCTGGTGCACGATGTGCAGCTCCAGCGGGTAGTACTGCAAGCACGACACACACAGCACAAATCGCACACGCACACGCACACGCTCACCCACGCGTTAGTACATCTTGCGCTGGCGACGCTGACAAGAGAGTGTGCACCTTGCCGTTGAGTTGATGTTCGGACGGGGCGTGGAGGTGCATCGAGACGATGTGGTACTGATCTTCGTATAGAGGGCCGCCCCTACAGCGAGTCGAAGATGGTGAGTCGCTCTCAGAAATCCACAACCGAAGCTGGAGTTCATGTTTTTTGAGTGCGTGCGTACGAGATGTGGCTCCACAGGTTGGTCTCGCTGTGGAATTCGATGGTGTGGCCATTGTTCCAGAGCGTGCCGCTGGCGTTGGTCGGGTACGTGAACTTCAAGTCCCCCAGGAATCTGTCATCGCCAAACAAGTGTTTGTGTTTTGTTTGTTTTTAGTCGTGAAGCACATTAATAGAGGAGAGGGCCCACGACCAGAAGAGAGTCGAGAAAGTGCTACCTTCGCGAAGTGCGGAACTCGATGATATCGATGGGCGATTGTCGGCCTCCTGAAGTCGTTTTATTTTAAGTCCGACCGGTTTGTGCGAGGAGAATTTATGGGTCGCGGGCGCAGAGAAGTACCTGAGCTGCACTGGGCGTAGTCGGGGGTCAGGGTGCCCCAGTACTGGGGACCGGTGGGTCCGTCGTAGCTCCACCCGGCGTGGTCCCACCCATGGCCGTCTTCCCCTTCTTCGTGCTCCCACGAAGACCTGGTCTGCATCTTGCGCCAAGGCTGGATAGAGAAAGAGTGGGGAAGAGATCATCAGCATCAACATCAACTCGGTGACATGAAAAAGAACGAAGAAGAGAAGGCTCCGTACGACTTCGGTGATGGGTCCGACAGCATCTACGTGAATGTTTTTAGGTCCGAACCAAAAAAGAACGAAAGCGAAGAGAAAGACGAAAGCCAGCCTTTCGCAAGGGGTGAGAGAGCGAAGAGGCATCTGGTTTCGTTCTTTGGGCGCGGTCTTCGTTTTGGTCAAGCGCTTACGTGTGGTGTCGTTTGTTGTTTCTCTTTCTGGGCTGTGATGACGTAAAACCTTGCAGCTGGACGCAAGCCACACGCTGAACCGGACTCAAGGTAACCAATCGCAATCCGACATTAATCAACCCCCGAGTTTTCATTCGTCGTTATTCTTCAGGCTCTTAGGCCTTTTCAACGCACCTGCCGTTACTGCTCAGCTGTTCGGCCACCTTAAGATTGCGCCAACAACTGGCAGAATTGGAGGGCGCAGGGACTTGACCAGGCAAGAAATGGAGGCGTGGCAGGCGACTCTCATCACCTGGACCCTCTCCACTATATGTGCTCTGCCCTGTTCCTTGTTGCAGAGAAGTGCTTGTTGGTTGGGTTGCTGAATGAGCTAGAACTCTTTGGGGGGGGGTCATCAACATTGCAAGGTTCTGTTCTGGGCGTACAATGCGCCCTTCCTGGCACTCGACATCATGAGATGGCCCCCGCTCTACCACTACAAACTGCAACCTGTACCTACTCTATTAAAAAAATATAAATTCACAATTTAAATAATATAAATTAATAAATCAGATATGAATGTGGTTGGTGGTGCACAGGAGGAAGTGAGTGCGGAGAAGATGGGCCGATGCGTGCGGCGGGTCCTGTTCAACCAGTTCGTGGTGCAGCTTCCGGTGTCGTTCCTCCTCCAGCCGCTACTCGAGGCCCGCGGCATCGCCTACTCGGCCGAGCTGCCCTCGGCCGTCGAGGTCGTGCTCCATCTCCTCATCTTCTTGGCCGTCGAGGAGGTCCTCTTCTACTACTCCCACCGCGCCCTCGTACGCTCCACCCCAGCTTCTCCGCTGTACGCTGCTGACGTGGCGTGCGCGTCGTGTCGTGTCGTTGGTCGTGTCGTTGGTCGTGTCGTGTCGTGTCGTGCAGCATTTGTGGAACTATCAGCGGATCCACAAGATTCATCACGAGTTCAGGGCGCCGATCTCGATCGCCTCAGAGTACGCGCACCCGGTGGAGTACGTGGTGTCCAACATGCTGCCGCTCCTGGCCGGCCCGCTGCTGATGGGCAGCCACCTGGCCACCGTGTGGGTGTGGACCGCGATCGCCGTCACCGGCACCTCGAACCACCACTGCGGCTACGCCCTGCCCTGGCTCCGCGGCCTGTCGAGCCCCCGATTCCACGACCACCACCACCTCAGCTTCAACACCAACTTCGGCCTCGTGGGCCTTCTCGACCACCTCCACGGGACCCGACACAAGCCCCTCATCGCCCATCGCCGAGTAGATGGTTAGATCGTGTCGAAGAGCTGTCAACAAGGTCTGATGTATGATACATCAATAAATAAATGTTGTCTATTCAGAAAAGGGGGAGGAGTTGTTGCATGGCTTGGGTGAAAGTGATCACCAGGGAAGGGGACCGAACGTTCAACCCACCACTCCGGAGTGGACAGAAGTTGTAACATAGGAAGAGATATCGAGGTTGGGGGACGTCGAAGAAAAGATAAATACATCCAACCCATGCAGGAAGAGGACATACAGCGGGCACTCGCCCAAATCTCAACCGGAGACACAGCCGAAGCGGAGCTCCTTTTGGCCCTGGCCAAACTCAAGCAGATCAAAGCCACTGGTGCGCGCCCCCCCCCACTTATAATTAATTGTTTTATTTTTATTTTATTTTTATTTTATTTTTTATTATATTATCATTGCCTTTGCAGGTACCAGAGAACCAGGAATAGTTATTTACTCATTTCGAAAATGACGCAGAGTGGAAGCAAGGCACGACGGCGGAGACGAAGCAAAAGGCAGTGCAGGTGCTTTCCGGCGCCGTGGCCAATGAGGAGTACCGGCTCCTCTTGCAGGCCCACGCCGCAGCAGCCTTGGCACCCATCATGGAACAGGGTGCGTGTGTTGTGTGCCGTGTGTGTCGTATCTATCGTGTGTGCCGTGTGTGCCGTGTGTGCGGGCAGAGTGCGGGCGTCTGATCTGGGCATACAAACCGCAACCAGGCGGGAGCACAGGAGCGAGCGCGCTTGTGCTGAGCGAGGCAGTGATCGAGCACCTGTTGCGCCGGATCGCCGACGTGACGCCACAGCCGGACCTACCCTTCGCACAGAAGAAGTTCTTGCGGGTGCTGGCCCACTCTGTCAAAGGTGCTCCACACGCGACACACGCTACGAACGCTACACGCGGCACTTACATTGGGGGGGGGGGCTCAGTGAAGGCCACGTGCGATCACGTGGCGAACAAGGGCGGAATCGAGGTCGTGGCCGGCTTCCTCCGCCGCACGCCGCTGGCCGAGTCCAAGCGCCAGCGGCTGCGATGGGCGACCTCGTGCCTGTGGATCATGGCCACCGATCTGACGCGCATCCTGGCGCTGGCCAGTTGCGATCTCATCCCGGTCATTCGCGACATCTTTCAGGTGCGAGTACCCTGGCCTGTGATCTTGTGCGCTGGTGCCTTTTCTGATGAGTACCTGGCGCACACGCACACCAACGACACACGACACGACACGGCCACCGACACGACACGAATGTTTGACAGGTGAAAGCGGGCCAGTGCTTATGGGCAAAGGCGAATGCAGGCGGTATTGTACATTGCATGGCATCTTCAGGTACGTAGACGCAATGTTGCAAAACACCTTCTGCTCCACGTTTCATATATATTTGATGGACTGATGATGAAAACATGTATAAATATGTCTTTATGCGTGTGTGTGTCTTTTTAATATACATATATACATGTGGTACCACCTTGCAAATGAAGCTGAGGGCGCGAGTCTGCTCGCGTTGGTGTCCCTGCCGACATTTATTAAGGACTACATCGACACCTACGCGCGCTCAAACTTTTCTTCGCGCTTCCTCTCCGAAGCACTGATGAGCATGGCCCAACACGGTACCCCCCCCCACCAATGCCCGAGGTGGGATTGGCCTGGCACCAAGTCTCACCGCACACGCACAACCGCACACGCGACACGCGACACGCGCTACCGCGCACGCACATACAGAGGTCACGCTGATGGAGGTCATCCGAGAGGAATGCCTGCCCACGGTCTGGCGCTATCTACTCTACCACGTAAGGTGCAAGACCGAATTCCCCAAACGCCCGGATGTGCTCAAGGTCTACCACCCCAGAGTGACGAAGCTGAGAGCTCGAGGTACGCATGGCGAGTCGTGTGCGTGTGCGTGTGCGTGTGCGTGTGCGTGTGCGTGTGCGTGTGCGAGTGTCGTATTGTAGAGAGCTTAGGCTTGGTTTGTTCAGTGAAGAGCCTGGTGTGCTGCTCGGTGCGCGGTAAAGACGGACACGGCTTCAAGCCCCTGCTCGCATTGACCTTCATGTTCATGGACAAGGCCGAAAAGCGACAGTTCTTCATCGACGCCGATGGCCTCTCCCTCTTCTTCAAGGTCTTTCTCTTCTTTCTTTTTGTTTTATATTATTTATCTTTTAATCTTATTATTCTTATTGCATTTTTTATTATTTCACTTTTATTTGTGTTCTGCAGGAGCTCCAGGAGAACAAGGACAGTGCGCTCACGATTCTGACCGCCTTCAACTGCCTCGTGTTTGGAGGTGCATTCGCCTGGTCTTTATTGCTCCCTCTGCACACTCCGTTGTGCTTTCATCATCGAACACATGGCACACGACACGACATGACACGACACGACACGACACGCGCCGTACAGGCACTCACACGCCACCATTTTTTGATGCAGTTGAGCAAATCTACAGTGGGACTGCAGTCGTTCCGCCTGCCATACCCGAGCCGCAACCCGACACCACCGCCATCTCGACGACGACGGCGCACCTCCCCGAGTACCTCGCTCCGATTCGCCGCACGGTGGTTCAATTGGGCTCGTTCGCCGTGTGGCGCGACGACAAGTCGCTTCACGACGTCACCTTCTCCTTCCCCTACGAGGTGCAAGAGAGAGAGAGAGTGGCTTCCTCCACCTTTCCTTCCGTCGCAGCCGTCTCACTCGCGCACGACACACGCACGACCGCACACGCACGACCGCACACGCACACGCACACGCACACGACAACAGGACAATCAGACGGTGACGGCGCACAAGCTGTTGTTGGCGGGTCGATCGGCGGTGTTCAAGGCCATGTTCACGCTCGGCATGCGCGAGGCCCAGCGCACGTCCGAGGCGCTGCTCACGATCCCCATCCCCAACATGTCGCCGGCCACCTTCAACCTGCTGCTCGACTTTGTCTACGGCGTCCACCTCGAGGCGGCGGCTCCTCCAGCTCAGCCCGGGACCACCCCAGCTGCGGCCGGCAGCGCGAGTGGGCCGAGCACCAATGGCCACCAGTCGGCGCCGGCTGGTGGCGGGCAGCCAGGGCAGCGGCCGCTGTTCGCCAACAGCAGCGCGCTGGACGCGGCCGTGGCGTGGCTCGAGCGATCGGGCGTGGGTCAAGACGGGGCGAGCGCGCTGATGGCCGCCGCCGGCCAGTACGAGATTCTCGACCTCGAAGACGCCTGCGCCATCTTCCTCGGTACGTACCCATGTCCCATCAGCCTTCATCCACCTCTTTGTGGTCTCCGTGTCACGTGTGTCGTGTGTGTCGTGTCGTGCTGTGCGTGTCGTGCGGTGAAATGGGGAGCAGGCGGGAAGGTGGTGGCGTCCAACGTGTTGAATCTGCTGCGAGAGGGCCTTCTCCATCGATCGCCGGTGCTCATCTTCCGCTGCTTCGAATTCCTCCTCGACAACATGTGGAGCCTCTTCATGCACACCGCCACCGCCACCGCCGCGACAACCACCGCCTCAACGCCACAACCAGAAGCCGCCGCTACCACTTCGTCGTCGTCGTCATCGTCATCGTCATCATCCTCATCATCTGGCGATGGTAAGCAGGACAAGGAGGAGGCAGCTGTGGCAGATGCGCCGAAGCTGCCGCCGGTCACGCGGGCGTTCAGTCCGCTGGTGCGGGGCATCTTGATGGAGGCCGACTGCCTGCAGTGGCTGCGGGGCTTCGTGGTGCGCGGCATGCTGGGCCTACCGCACGTCGAGTTCGAGGTCGTCGCCTCCGCGGGGCCGCAGAGCAAAGTGCCTCGGCCAGATGGCGCCAAGGCCTGTTGCCTCCAGTAGGAGTGTCTTTTCCTTTTCCTTTTCCTTTTCCTTTTCCTTTTCCTGTTGCAATGCAACATTGAAAATTCATAAATAAATAACTTATTTAGTGTTGTTGGTCACTGCCAGGAGCTGGGTTGCCTCTTGCGGTAGTAGAGCTGGTTGTTGTCGTGGAAGGCCTGGGTGGCCTTGGTGAGCAGGACCGAGAAGGAGGAGAGGGACACCTCGACGTCCAGATTCCGCTCGGAAACGTCGAAGGTAATGTTGGTCACGTGGGGCTCGTGGTAGGTGTACATGGTCGCCCCGGCCGATTGGACGTAGAGGCTGTACATGGACCGGTAGTAGCGACCCGGGAACACCTCGATCGCCACAGCCCTGGCCAGACCACCAAACGCGGAGAGAAGTAGAGACGGATTAGGTCAGCATGACCTGAAGAAGGTGGAGGGCCTCAGTCGTACCCTCGGGGAAGGAAGAAAGAGTTGGCAAACACGGCTCCGTGCATGCCCACGAAGATGCCCGTGCCGTGCATTACCACGACCTGGTGATGCAGACAAGGCTGATGAGGAGGGCAGCACGAGCAGGAGTGGTTTTGGGGGGGGGGTCACAAACCTGCTCTGCGGGGGAGATGCTTGCGAAGTCGACCACTGCGACTGGCATGCGGGTTTCTGAAGGACTCACATGAGTGCGTGTGTGCGTGTATGTGCGGTCGTGCGTGTGAGTGTGCGCGTGCGTGTGCGCGATGAGATCTGTTGCCTTACCTTGCTCGAGGAAGGTGGCGAGCTGATATTCGTTGAGGAATTTCCTGCTCCGTTTTCTGCTGACTAGCGTTATCTGTGTGAAGGCGCAGAGAAGAGAAGCGGACATGTGTCATGCCAAGCCCGTGCTCGAGCGAATGGAACCCACACACACAGAATCTATCGCCCGTGACACGTACCTTGGCCGGGAGGGAGGTGTGGGACTTCAGGCCCAGACGCGAGTACACAGTCTCCTTGAGAGTGAAAGCCATTTCAGGCCGCAAGAAGGTCTAAGTGGAACACAGTCATGCGTCATGTGTGTCACGTGTGTGGCGTATATCGTGTGTGTGTGTGAGCCGTGAGGGAAGCGACCGCTTCTGGCTGTTGCATCAACGTACCGGCATACGTTCCACTCCGCCAGTGAATTGGGTGTTGTGCTGGTCGGCTATGGTGCACGCGGTACCATTGGGTCGGACGCGGTACGCGACATCGCCGAACATAAAGTCGAACATTTCTGGGGAGTTGAATGCACAATTTCTCGTAAGTTGTGTGTGGTTGTCGGATGAATGATTGAACTTGTGGAAGCGCACCCATAGCCCACCGCAGCCTCTTGGGCGACGACAGCACTCGTATAGACGGCCCACTGCAGAATAACAATTGCAAGCCATCAACACTACAAGCCTGGCGATTGTTGCTGAAAGGGTTGCGCGGTTGCGCACCCAGTTGCCAGGGCGAGAGTGTGGATGCTCCAAGCCTGCGCGATGCACCCTGGCCAGTGTCCCACAGATGCTCTCTCGTCGCAGTGAAACACAGCCCATGACTCCTGGTAGGGAGTGCGGCATGAGGCGAAGAAAAAGGTGGTTGCTGGGCCAAAAGGGCTGGCTTCACCTGTTGCAGCGGCTCGAGTGGTGGTCCGCAGTCCAGGTAAAATGCGTAAGTAGACCCTGGGTAGTTATGGGACCTGGATCTCTCCCACAGGTAAGTGTGTTGGCTTTCGGCCCAGCTCTTGACCTCGGTGGGCTGGCCAGGCCAAGAGTGCCGCTGGAGCACGAGAAGAGAGCCCAGCACCAGAATAACGGACAGCACAAAGGTCAGGCAGCCCCACCATCGCAACAGCATCTTCCCCTTGGGTAAAGAAAACAATTTCTTTTTTGTGCCCCTTGAGGGATTTTGATTTTATCTCCTTTTTTTGTTACATTTTCCTTTTTCGGATTTAAAATAAAAAGTAGAAATAGGCATGAAGAACTGCCCCCCAGCGAGTAGGTTGGGTGGAGATGGTGCTGCGGAAGAGCCCGCGCAGGCTCGAGCTGGGCCTCTTCTTGCTGCTGCTGTGCTCGCTCATTTTCCTTCTGCAGCTGAGTTTGAGGTGTACGCACTGCCCTGAGACCCACCCCGAATCGGAAGAAGCCTTCAGTGTAGCTGCGCTGGGGGAGCCTCTGAGAGCGATGCTCGACCGGAAGCTGAGCGAGCGCGAGCGGCAGTTCGACTGGACCAACGTGCCGGACTGCGTGCGCCACCACCTGCGCCGCTACGTCGTGAGCCACCTCCTCCACGAGTACTCTCAGCCGCCCGTGCAGCGCCCCAAGCTCTCGCGGGCCGGCTGGCAGGGCTCCGACATCGGGTACGGCACCCAGCGCCTCTTCCTGGTCTCCTACGAGAAGTTCAAGCCACGCCAGCAGCAGGTGCTGGACCAGCTGCGGCCGTACGGCCTGGAGAGCTCGGGCATGCTCATGCTCTGGGAGGAGCCGCACCTTGATGTGGCCCAGATCAACAACGACACGGCCACGATCGCCTGCTTCTGGCCCAAGCGCGAGAAGTATGTCGTGTCCAAGCGAGAGATGTCGCTGTCGCTCAAGCACATGACGCTCTACTACTACGCGCTGCTTTTCGATCTCCTGCCTGCGTCGGTGATCGAGGACGACATCATCGTCAACCCCTCGCTTACGCACGTGTGGCCGTCGGCAGTCCGATCGGTGCCCGACGGTTGGGCGCTCATCCAGGCCGGGTGGTGCCTGTCCGAGAAGGGACTCCCGCCGGAGTACGGCGAGTACCTCACCACCGCCAAGAACAGGGAGCGGCACCCACTCTGCACCTACAGCTACCTCATCAGTTCCACCGGCGTAATGAAAGCGTTTCAGAGTATGTACACTTCTTCGCATGTGGCCTACATGTGGTGGGTGTGGGGGCTCACGTGACACTGAGCAATGTGAGTTCCATCCCTCTCCAGCTTTGTCCGCTGGAAAGACACGAGCAATCGATCTGCAGCTGAGGCACATGTGCACGAACATGAACGGGAGCTGCTACTTCATGGAGCCCCAGGTGTTTGGCCACGTACAGACGCACAAAGAGGTGGACCGACTTCAGGGGAACCGCAATAAACTGGATTGACATCGTCCATCTGTTGTCAAGCTCCCTCCACACCACATCTTGATAAGTTGTTTTTATGTACATGCCAAACACAGATCAAACACACATGGTCCTATGCATTGTTGACGTATTTCTTGACCTTGGCCAGACGCCTGTTGAGGTCCTCAACCTGCCCCTTGAGCCCGTTTACCTGTCGCTTGAGCTCCTTGACCTGCTCCTTGAGCTTCCCGATTGCCCTGTCTCGCTTCTCCAACTCCCTGTCCATCTCGCTGGCCATGTTGTCACTGAGGCGTGGTGAGCGCGGCGATGTCAGCCTTGAGGGCCTTGGCCTCCTCCTCGGCGGCAGCTCTGGCCGTGGTGAGCGCGGCGACGTCAGCCGTTGAGGTCGTTGGCCTCCTCCTCGGCACGCAGGCTCGTGGCCGTGGTGAGCGTGGCGATGTC